CTTTAAAAACGAGGCAAATATTGCGTGGTGGAAAAGCTTTCTATTATTGCAAAAATTGGAAATTTCACACGGAATTCCAGCATTCATTTTCGTACCAACGTGTCTCATTTGTGTCACTAAGCAGCGTTCGTACATCAATTTCATTTATGTCAAATATCTTCTCTCAGTAACTTTACTAACAGCCATCCCCAAAATACAGAAGCAACTAAATTCTGATAAGAATGATTTTTTTTCGCAAACCATTGAAATTCAAGAGTGAAGGTGATTGAGTGATAGTGACACAGTGATAGTGACAGTGATAGAGTGATAGTGGCAAAGTGATATTGAAAGAGTAAAAGTGATAGAATGATTGTGACACAGTGAGGGCGAGAGAGTGATAGTGACAGAGTGATAGTGTTAAAGTGAAAGTGATAGAGAAAAAGTGATAAAGTGATAGTGATAAAGCGAAAGTCATAGAGTGATAGTGATAGAATGAAAGTGATAGGTTGATAGTGATAGAGTGATTGTGAGAAATTTAAAGTCATAGAGTAAGGCTGATAGAGTGATAGTGATAGAGTTTAGATCCCAGAGTGATAGCAGCTAATCAAACTGGCTCTAACTGTTATAAAATGCTGATATCGCTATACCACTAAAAACATATAGCTAATCTTTGATCCAAAGCAGAAAATGATGAGCAGCAAATGATATTATGAGGCATATCAAGCGAGGATTGTAAGACTAAAGCAGTGTTCGACACTCTTACCAAGAGAGGATTGGATTGGTGTTTTGAAACAACAAAAGCAAATCTTTGCTTTCAAGGCCATACTGGGAGGTATATGACACAAACTGCATACAAAAAACAAAGCAAAAGTTCTCTAACCTTTATATCTACGTCCTCGTCTGACTCCAAATCTTCAAGATCGTCATCCAATGCACTTTTCTGCAATAAACACAATTTAGCATTAAGTGAAGATAATGAAAAAAAACACTAGAATTATAACGACGATTGCAGATAGGAAAAGTATGGCAATTCTAGTCTTGCCGTACTCAAGCTTCATGACACAATACTGTCGGCCTAGCAATTTGCAATAAGACAAATAAGATAGCTGGCAGCAGTATAATTACAAAACAAACTGCCGATATAGGACATTTAGAGCTTGGAAATTAAGTATACTTGATATTAAGGATACTTACAATATCACGAGGAAAACATTTTATCAACAGTACAGAATAATCATAGAAGTATTCAAAATCATCATCTTTCATAAAAAGTGAATTATCATCTTTCATAATTTCTCAAATCTCTTTTACTTTTTTCGCATAGACAATCTTTGCCAAAGACAAAAAAGATGCAATAAAGAACCAAGTTACGATATTTTATTGGAAATGTTCTCTAGACCCATATAAATAAGAAGCCCTTGCGTAAAAATGTGTGCTTACTATTGGTAGAGTTATAGTACACAATACTTTCACCATCTCAGAAAAAATTTTATCCTGTTTTCCAGGTTCCCAGAAAGGAAAATACTTTTTGTAGCTCTGACTACATTTATGTGACTTAAATAGTATTCTAGGGCAGGTGACGAAAAAGGCATTTGACACAGGTAAAAGTGTTGACCCCTAGCAGTTGACCAATCAAATTGCGCACAGAGAAAAACATGAGAACAGTTTCTGCTTCTCTGCAAATCGGCGAAACCCTAGAGTGGTTTCACGTGAGTAGATTCGAATTTCTTTCAAACGTGCTTGCTCTGATCGAGTTATTTATGGATTTGCTCTACTTATGCATGTCAAATGCCTTTAGCCAACTCAACCCATATCTCAACAAAGCTACTGGCTGCCATGTTTAAGTCAGTGCGGAGCAAGTCATTGAATACATGAGACGACGAAAACAAAGAAATAATTCAAAAACTGTTTTAAAGTACCCTCTGTTCTAATTGTTCTGTTTCTTCAAGTACGTCTCTTTTCTAAAAAAGAAAAAAGGTTTTAAAGACTCCTACACAGTTACGACTATTTGCGCAGAGCGCCTTGATATGTCATGTGACAGATGATGTAAAACGGATAATAAGAGGAAAGAATTCCTATGATTCAGTGGACAAACTATTAAGCTATTAAGCCCTGGCAAAACGACTAAACATTTCATTCAACTTTTCTTTAATGAGGTTGAGCGAAGTTTAGCGAGGCTGGCAAAACGTGACTAAACTCTTCACTAAACTTTTCACTAAACTTTCACTAAACTTTTCATTAAACTTTTAACTAAACTTATCACTAAACTTTTCACTAAACTTCACTCAACTTTTATTAATTGCGAGCGGTCTATGACGCTGTAGGGTTGTAGGGGATCTTGCATAGGAATTTGCTTTTGGTTTATTTTGTTGCATGCACAAGCAATGGATAAACATAAGAACTGGATGAAAGGACGGGGAAACAAAAGACTTTTTAGCACATTGACAACAAAGTTGACTGTTGAAAAAGAGACAGTGGCGTACAACGAGATATGTAGATGTCGCATAAAGGCTTTTTGGGTCACGTAGAGACAGAAAAACGACTTGACATTTGCTAAACAACACTAAACAACGTTAAACATTTTTGACATGTAGATGTCTCATATAGTCTTTTTGGGTCACGTAGAGACAGAAAAACCAACGAAAACAGACGAAAACCTTTGGGTTTCCACAGCTAGTGCGTCTGCGCGATCACAACAAATGTTTAATTGGTGGCAAAACAACTAAACATTTGCTAAACAACACTAAACAACGTTAAACATTTTTGACATGTAGATGTCTCATAAAGGCTTTTTATGGTCACGTAGAGACAGAAAAACCAACGAAAACAGACGAAAACCTTTGGGTTTCGTTGAACATGTAGATGTCTCATAAAGTCTTTTTGGGTCACGTAGAGACAGAAAAACCAACGAAAACAGACGAAAACCTTTGGGTTTCCACAGCTAGTGCGCCTGCGCGATCACAACAAATGTTCAATTGGTGGCAAAACGACTAAACATTTGCTAAACAACACTTAACAACGTTAAACATTTTTGACCAGGATCAAACTTTGCTCAACAACACTCAATACGACTAAACAACACTAAACAGGGTGGCCAAACGAAAAATCATTTCACCAAACTTTTGACTAAACAATTAACCCTTACTCAATCTATCAAGATATTTGACAAAAGATATCTTTTTCTGTAAGATACTGTACAAAATTAAAGTACTTTAGACCTTGTACCTGTATTCTGGGAAGAATTATATCACAAACTCTTTCTTCATGAAGAAGCTCATCAATAAATTCGTCCATGTGTAGGACACTCACAACTGCAACGCAATAAAAGATATCAGAGTTCAAATCGCAAACACAAAATATCAACTGTAGCTTATAAATAAATGCAATGAAAATTAGAATGATAACTGTTTGACACTTTCAATCATTTTGTTTACTTCTATAGCACGTTTAATCCGTTATCCATTCAATTATTTGATGATTTTAAAACAGATAATCATGCCAGGGATTACTAAAATGAGGAATACTTCTGGTAGTTACCTTTCCGCCGGTTTCTGAACGTATTCTGCCAATCAAAGCAATGTTGGAGTTGTGTTTTTATTTACGAATTAATTTTATGTACATTACCCCTTTTCTATGACCTGAATTATAAGCGTACGAGTGAGAGGCTGGGGTGCTACGGTCTCCTAATTTTTATTCATCTTCTCTGCTCCATACTACATATTTTCGGACATGTTTTGTGCAATTGCATATGGATGGGCAAAAGATATCCAGATGAACTACAAAGGTAAACTACAAAGGAGAAGAGTACTGAGGGTTCATGAGAAGTCGTATGATTCCGTACCTCCATCGAGACCTTTCCTTTTCATCTTTCTGTAGTCATTATACAGAGGCTCGAGATACTTGAAACATTCCAACGAGGTTCCAACTAGCCTCATATAGAATGCGCCAAGGGCTCTGGCATACCTGTGATTGATTAAACAAATAATTCAGTTCAATTCAAGACTGAACAAAATTCTCATGCAAAAATAAATGCATACAAATATGGTATCCAAAAGACACAGATGTGCTCTAAAACATAGATTCAACAACCAGAAACTATCTGGATTATAAAACGTCACACAACATTTAAAATGTGATGGTATTCATACCAAGATGGGAATCAAGACGGACCACAACCCTGCCTCAGGAAGCTTGACTAAAACAATTTTCTTGAGAGTCATTTCAGTAGAAACAACAAATGTAAAATGAAATTAGAAAAAATATATTACATTGGGAAAGTAATTAACTGCTTGTATCTTATGGATCTTGTCAAAATTCCTCTCATAGCAACATTAACAGTTCTGATATTATAGGTGATAAAGGACTCTTTTTTTGTAAATTGTCATTTGTCATAGCATCAATGTACATTGTTTATGACACGTGGTCACCAAATAACATTTCAGTTCCCACCTAGTGATATCCTTACACCTTTTAATCAGTGATGAAAAAAATCGCCCATTGAGAATAATCTAATATATTGACCATATGGTGATTTAAAAGATTCCCTTTTTTGACACCATTTAGTTACCAAGCTATAGTAATTATTACAAATATTTTGACATCTCCTTTTAATCAACCTTTTCATGCTAATTGCTTGAGGATTTTTATAGTTTGAAAGATACCAAAAAATTTTTTATATAAGAGACAGAAGTAAAACAGGCAATCCTCAAACAAACCTTATTTCAATTAACAGTTCATAATTTTTGCTGAGAATTCAATATGTCTAGGTTTCTTAGTTAAACAGCAAATCAAACTTTGCTGACTTTGATGCAATTATCACTGTTGGGGCAGAATCAGTTGATATTTCACCTCTGATTGACAACTTTAATGAATAAATCAGTCCTTTTCGTTTAGCGCGTGCGATCGCACCCGCACACGCCTGCACACGCGCAAATTAAATTGCGCGTGCTTTTGACCACACGCGCAAACAGGTGTTTTTGCAATTTTCTGTTAAAGGGCCAAATTTTGCACTTGCATTTTATTGGCAATTTTTATAAAGAAGTTGAGCCTGCTGATCACGAATTCGTTATTTGTTATTTTTTATTTGTTATATTAATTCGTTATTTTTTTACAGTTTGTGAGATATAAGCTCTTGCATTTCGATAATTTAATTGAATTAACCGACAAAAATTTTTGGTTTGGTGACACTGTGACGCAATTTTGACGTCACAGTGTATTTCGGATAGTCTCGCCTCAAACCGAATCGAACGACGGCGATTCGCAAATTGAACACTGCAAGTGATGGTACTTTCAGTTCTGTTCCGCCAGCTTTTAGTTTGAGCATTTCAGACACCAATTCTGAAGCCTTTAGTTGTTCATCGTTTCTGGAGAACAACTGAAGTGACAATTTCGATTAATTATACGCGAGGGAAGAGCTGGAACAGGAACTGGAACTGGATGCAGTTATCAACGCGTGACCATGAGTCCTTCACGCTTCGGTGGAAGATATACGAAATTCATGGCGAACGAGAGCCGCACATTGTGACGTCAGAATGTCACCAAACTGATTCGGCTTTTGTCGTTTTATTTCTCGGAAAGGTGCAACTTTAAAGCCTTACAACTTCTAAACTAATTGGAATTTTTCAAAAACAATGACTTTGTCATAATACAAGCACCAGATGCTAACTTTTAAGTCATTAAAAAAAAATTTTTTTTGCTGGAGAGGCCCTTTAACATCAATTTCCCATGGTCTCATGATTGTTTATCCTTTCCCTTGTTACTTGATTCGCACTTTTGACCACAATATGATTTTTCCAATTTTCGGAAGTGATGTTTGGCTTTTGACTGAGTGCTCCATTCAACTTAGCGTCTCGTCTTTCAGCTAAGTCGCCATTAGCATGTTAAGTGTAATAACTGATTTCCTGTCAAAACGTAATTAGGCCCTGAAAGCAAGTAGCTGTTGGAAACAATTTTTACTTGCTCTTGTAACTTTGGAGAGTTACGACGACTTTTAAAAGATGGCTGCTAAGGGCAACAAAATATGTTATGTATTGATTAATTGAGTTTTGCTCTTGCACGTATTCGAGTGGCTTTTTCCTTCTTGCTCCTTTTACCAATTTTATCAGGTTTGTACTTCAAATTTTCTGACAAGTGCGATCGCACGCGCAAATTTGTTTACATGTGCGATTTGCCACACACGCGTAATTTTGCTCACGAAAAGGACTGATAAATACGACAATATCTTGCTGATCTATAAAAATCAAGAGGGGAAGATCAATAAAATTTTAAACTTACTTATAATCCTCATTTCTTATGAATTCAACAACAATGTCTTTTTCTGGTTGTATCTGGAGCATTTTCAGTATTAAACACAGAAATGGTGTTGGTTTGACATTGCCACCAAATGTGCCACCAATGTGATCCAATGCCATTGCTTTATCAACAAGCAGCTCAGCTACAAAATAAGAACTCAATTATATGCGTGTTCATTTTGAACCTGATTTTTCATTATTGGATAGCAATCACAGAGAAACCAAACAAAGTGCAATGTATTGGTGAGCTCATTTAGCAAAGCATCATTTGAATTAAATTCAAATCAAATGATTTGCTCACACAAAACTGGACAGGAAGTTGTTTGTTATAGCAACAGTAACACTTGTCTCAATTTCATACTTTTTGTTGTTTAAGATCTCCCAATTACATTGTTTAAGATCTCCCAATTCTGTAAGGAAACTCAAAATGTGGATTTCAATAGAATAATGAGAAGTCTTGAAAATGAGTAAAAGTTGCACTAAATAAGTAAAAGACTGTGCTTAAAAGTGCAAATATGATTGCTAACAATTGCTGAGGTTATTTCACAGCAAGAAACCTTCAGAATGCTTCCTAAAAAATAGGGTGTGAGGTGCACAGAAGACCTAGCTCATATGAAAATAATGAAAGCTTTAGCTGGCATAATGTGAACAATTGTTTGGAATTATGGTGTTTATTTTTAAAGTGCCACCAACATGAAAAATAAAAAACTTCATAAAATCCATTTATTGTATTTCTTTTTTTGTACAGAGTTGGTGTGCTTAATTGAATGGTGTAATTATTTCCTGCATATCTTTCTTCACCATAATTATTTCAAGCTCTAAATTATTTCATATTGGTTTTGTCATTGAAATGACCTTAATATGGCAAATATTGTTGTGCTGGTGCACTAAACTATACTGTCTGTTTGGATAACAGTAACATTCCTGGAAATCAATTGCAGGAGTTTCCAAAAAATGGAAAAATGGCATTGATTAAGTAAACATAGAGCATATTTTCAGTTTTCATCTGCCCTGTGACCCAAGACATGTGTAAAATACAAGAATTATAACAACTATATTGAACTTTCAATCTATTTTGAACAGCCTTCTGAAAGTAAATAACAGGGAAACAGACATTTGATATGGCTCTTCAATATGGTGCTGGAATGTGGGGCATTTCAGTAATTTCCAAAAAACCAGGAAAACACAACCAGACCCAAAAACATTTTAAGCACATTGATTCTTCAAACTCTACAAAGTTTCAATTGCTTTTTAAATAGTTTTACAGAAGTAAATTATGGGAAAACAGACAGACAAGATTTTAAGGTGCTCCAATGAGGGGGGGGGGGGTATTCTCATATATTCAGATATTCTCACAAAACCAGAGAAAAACAAGGAGGACCTAAACATGTGTTATGTACATTAATGTTAGCAACACTACAAAGTTTCAGTTGATTCAGGACAGTTTTACAAATGTATCTAGGGGTTTGCTATGTCTTCAGACAGAGGTTTCCTCTTAGCTTGTTGTTGAACAGTGAGTTCGATTTTTGTAGTTTTTCACTTTAAATTAGAGAACATTAGAAAAATGTTATTTTGAGTCAATTTAGTGGTCTTGCTTTGGCTCTAGTGTTGGAGATCAGTTCAAATCAGGTTGTGATGTTTCATCTCGAATGTCAATTTATGGGAACAGTTAGGCCACGTCAAAAGTTTTTTGAAATTTCTGCTTACCTTTGAAGTGTGTCTTATTTAGAAAAAATAAATAAATTAACAGAAAATCAATCCAGGTTTTTCACTTTGAAATAACCTTTCATTATCTTTATCTTTTATCGGTTATCTTTGCCTCTGCCAGTTCAATTGTCATCATCAGAAGGTGATTATAGGTCATTCTGATAGCGTTGTAAAATGATTTCCACATTCCCATCTTCAAAATTTGTTTCCTTACTTCTGATATGATTTTCTCATCGCTAAATGAAACATTTAACTGACAATTCCTATCTGACCTTAAGCTGCTGGACATTTTCTAGATTTTGCTGGGGTTTTATGATGCCACACTCTCCCCACTCTTTTCAAAAAACCTTGTATGACTCAAACCCCCATAGAATCAGTAACATTTATTGCCTGAGAACACACCTTTTGCAAAATTTTGATTTTTCATGTATGTCAGTGGCACTTTAAGTAACTCACTTGCATAACAATATTTCACAATTTCTACTTGAATTGGCAGATTTTACACAAAACCGGATACCAGATGCTCCATGATATGAGAAATGCAATAATGCAAAGGGGCCAAATTTCATGCTAGATCAGATTTGAGGAGATGCCTTTGCCAGATGTCTGGTTATATGGGGTTTGCAGCATAACAGATACGTTTAAAGCCGATCTGGCTCCGGAAACACACTAAGATGTTTTTCAACTTTGAAATTCCCATGCCAAAAATTGAACACATACGACTCTGATACTTGTGTGACTATATCGTGGAAGCAGTATATACTTTATGCATTCAATTTTAATTTTACGCTAATATTATCTCAAAAGGAAACTTTGTTGGTGTATTTTTCCAGCAACACAGCATCATTGAAACGCATTTGCGCGGGCATAGATAGAAGTAATATAAGAAAAGATGTGAATATCCTACAAAGTAACTTTACCTGTTAATGCAAAGCATTCTTCTTTCCAGTATTTGCTTTCATATATCCTTGTACGAATAATCTTCTCTACAAGATACTGAGGATTTGTTCCTCTCACAGATTTTGCATCTCCTACAGTCCGGTTCGCCATTTTGGAAACTGAGGAGGCCGTGAATGCGACTAGGCATCATATAGAGGCTTCTCCAATATGGACGTTGGTGTTGTTGTTGTTAAAATTCGAGTTTCACCATTGAGTTTGACTTTTGTGAAACAGTGAAAAAGGCCGTTCTGTGCCTGTAAAGATTATGGCTAAATTACAGAGAGAAACAGATGTTGCAAATGTGTTGTCACAGATGTGTCAGTTCGTTCACCAATCGCCTGAAATAGGTACGACAGGAAAGGAAGAGGAACTCTCGCCTGAAATAGGTACGGCAGTAAAGGAAACTGAAATAGGTACGGTTGTAAAGGAAGAACCTCTACAAGAGGAACACACGTATGCACAACATCTAACGAAATCACAAAAGAAGTCGTCAAGCAAGCGTAAGAACAGTAAGACTCCTGAAACTGCTACCAAAGGTATTCACTAATTAAAGCTTAATTGTCTCATATTTTTTTCCATCAATGTCATTAACTTTCGCTAAAGTAATATTAAGGCATGAAAATAATATTAAGAAGCCTGCTAACCAAACCAACAATTCTCAATTACGATCTCTAAGTAATTTCACATTTTTAACAATTCAAACTTCTTAAAAGTGCGTGATTTCAGGCGCAAAGTCGCACAATCAGGTGCGTGAACTTGCCTGTGCAAGAAACAAAGTTTCCAGTCTGGGCCGTGAACCTTCTTCCCATGGCTAGTTAGGCCAGGCAATAAAAATGAAGAAACAGTTCAGGGGGCTTATTGGTTGTCTTTGGGGTCTAATATTCTTAGTCCAAACATTCATTGATGTTTAATTTTATCTAACTTCAGGTGTTTCTCTCTTCACATTAAGTCCTGAAAACAAGCTCTTGTTATTGTACAGTAATAGCTTTCACTCACAGCTTCACTTTGCCAGTATGAGATGATGAAACTGAACACATACATGATCACCAGTTTTTACAGTTACAAGATGTTCTTGAACTGGGTTCCAAGAGTGTCCCTCTGTTTGTTGCAAGAACAATCAATAACAATCTATTTCCATGGCTACAACATGGGTCCTTTTATTCTCAATAACATGTTTAAAGAGTGTTAATGGCAGTAATGCTAGACCCAATACACTGATACATATGTTTACAATTTTTCAAGACTTAAGCCAAAATTGTCTGTCTTAGGAAAAAGGTTGCAGAACCTTTGAAACTCAGTGTGGATTCATCACTGGCTCTTGCCTCAGCACTCTCAGCCTGTCTGGTGGATGTTTTCTTCAAGCACAATGGTGGTCGTGGCAGTTGACACAATTGTCTATTAGGGCTAGCAGGGCTAAGAAGGGCATTTAGGAGAAATTGATTCTTTTCACTAATGATCATTTTTTGCAAAAAAATAGTTGTTTCAGCTCAGATATCATAGAAACTGCTGCACTTTCCTGTGAGGATTGTTGATTTTGGATTCCAGCACAAAACATTTCATATTCTACATACACACAGCTTTCAGTAAGACCAGCCTATCAACTACAACCTGTGAGTAATATGATTACTCACAAATATGAATAATAAACAACAATTTTTTGCCAGAGTGAGTGAAATAAACACCAGCTGAGAGATATTGATATCAAGCTATAGTGTATCTGCTAAAGTACATGCTAGAAGTAGTCTGACAGCAATAAAGAGGTCATTGAGCCTCCCATAGAGAAACAGCCCTATTGCAGAGAGAGCAATTAAAGTTCCATTTATATCTGCTTTTCAGTGTCTCAGTTATATTCTCTCATAGCAAGAAAATGCACATAAGAAATTCCTAAATTTTGCAAGCAATAATTCAAGCTTTCTTTCTCTTCTTTACCTCTCTAATATGTTTTGTTTATAGGAAGAAAAGAACATGTATGTGAAATGTGTGGTCATTCGTTTTCAAAGCTTTGCAACCTGAAAAGTCATTTAAGAGTGCACAATGGAGAACGACCTTATGCTTGTGACTTGTGCTCAAGAGCATTTACACACTACTGGGACCTAAGAAGACACAGTAGAACACATTCTGGTGAAAAACCTTATAAGGTGGAGTGGATCTTTTTTACAATCACGTTTAATGAGCATTAGAAAATTCAGCTTTGTAAGATTCTTATATGCTCACTTATTCATGTCATCAATTGGTTTTTCTGGGATGTCTCTTGGTCTCTGGGGTGTAGTGGTTAAGGAATTGGACCCTTGATCCAAATTGGACTAACAACCCTTTGGCAAGATGTTAACACAAATTGTATTTTGCTCTATGAGTTGCAGTCAATGGCTGCACAATGGTATGTGCTTGCAAGCATTTTGGCCAGGTGGATTGTTGCAAGTTGGTAGAGTACCTTTCTGCTAGCAACAGCCTATAAACCACCACTTGCCTTTTGGCATGTGCAGAGAAGTTTTACAGAAATACAGTTCCTGTAGGTAACAGCATAAGGCCTAGTTTGCATGGAATCATTTATACAATATGCAAACTAATACATGATGCAACAACAACATCATTTTGGACTCAAAGACTTTGTTGCTAGTCAAGCAAAAGGCCATTTTTTGTTCTGTAAAAATGGCTTCCTTGTAAGTTTGTATCAAACCTTTAAACATATGAAACTGGATTTGCAACTAGGTAAGTAGCAGACCTGAAAAGACTTTAGGGGATGATAGAATAGTAGCCAACCAGGAAAGCATAGAGGGTATTAAACAATTGGTATTCAAAGGTGTTTTTACTAAGACCTATCTTTTATTTATTTGCTGCCTTATGTTTCTTAAGCTGTCGTGGTTGCTGGTTGATATGCGAGAGATTATTATATCATCATATAGACCTAATTATTAAGAAAACACATAAAACATCAATTTTTAGTTGTAGATACCAGTCTATCCCAAAGTTAATAGTAAATATGTAATAAGCTTTGTTCGTTTTATTAGTTCGGTAAGCCATTGGGTTTAATATCAAGGATATGCTTGAAGGGTTTCAAAAAGTTCACCATTTACCAACACAAATATATAACTTAGAGTCTTCTTTTCTTTAGTCAGCACATAACACTATAATTTAAGTACCTAAGTTCAACATCGATTGGTAAACACTTTCTTTGTTTTTTTTCATCAGCCGAGTTTATATATAAAAGTTACAAAACTGGCTGTATTAATAAGCAATTGCCTCTTTTGATATGTCAACCAATCTACCTTCATTTTGAGGCAGCCTGACTTTATCACCATGGTCCGTCTGGTTTGAGATGTTGTTGCTGCTGATGTCGTACCACCCGTTTATATCTTGAGACCTAGAACCCAATGACTTTTGACTATAAATTTATTCATTCATCATCTGTTAATCGTTCTCGTTCGTCATAGCTTTTTTGTTTATTTCACAGTGCAATCATTGTAGCCGTGCCTTTGCTGACTTTGGAAGTCACCGCCGGCATGTTCGTCTTCATACGAAAGAGAATCCACATAAATGTCATGTTTGTTCAAAAGAATTTTCAAGAATAGACAGCTACAAGAATCATATGCATACACATTCAAAAAGGAAGCCACACGTCTGTGAAGTATGTGGGAAAGGTTTCGCATATAGCAGCACATATAAACGACATCTTAACTTGCATTCAGGCCAGAAGAAATTTTCTTGTGAAGTGTGCAAGAAGAAGTTTTTCCGTCAGGACTATGTAGCGTATCACATGAAATTACACGAAAGACGCACACGAAGAGACTCGAGCACTTCCATTGATTCTGAAATTAACATAACGGAAAGCGAGCTTATGCTGAATTCGGAAATAGACCGCAATGCATCCTTTTCTGTCAGTGATGAACTGTTTCCGATACCCATCCTTTTGTCAATGGCTGAATCTGCAGTTGTGAACGTCAATATGTGTGATGGTACCTCATGTATGGATTCCGCAGGGGTTCTTGAAGCAGATAATGAAATAGAGCTTGGAACCACATCAGAAATCTCTTCATCGCACTATGGTGTGACTATGGACATGGAAAGCCCGACTGAAATAGTCAAAGTTAAACACATAGAGGACTAGCAAAGGTGTTGTACTAGGCAATTCTTCTCAATCCGGATTGGAAGATGAGACTGTTGTTCAATGGCCCACAATCTAGACTGTTTACGAAAGATCTATTTTTTGCAGTGGGAACTCTGTGCGGAATAAAGGAATTAAATTTGTACACAAGATACGATTTCTTCTATTTAGATATGTTAAAAGAGTTATTAATTGTTATGAATTGTACGTACATTCAAAGCTTTGTAAATGCCTTTAACTGACTGTCACTTAACAGTTGCCCAAATGACAATCTCAAACGAGCAGACCTCAAAATTTATCGAAATTTATTAACATTGTTTTTTCTTTGGTTTCAAATTTAGTTTATTCTATCAAGTAAAATGTGTATGTGATCAAGGCCCTTTTTAACATACTAACTAAGGGGCAATTGCCCCTCCAGCCCCAGTGACTTTCTTTTGTTTTAAACAATAGGCTATTTCCCTCGGACATAGATCGAAAACTCTGAGCTAGGAAGTTGACATACCCAGTTGTATATGAAAATAGGCCATTCAGAAACTCGATCACATGACTATAGAGGTTGCCTGATGCGTGTCGCTTACCTATTGAAAATATTACCGAGTTTTTTGTAACACGCTAAAATAGCTCCGAAATAGTGGTTCTTGTAATAAAGCATTTAACTGATGAAAAATCAGCCTGGAGTTCTTAACCTGCATTTCTTTTATGCGGGCTTAACTGCAATGTCATGGCATAAATTGATTTTTTAAACCAACTTCAGAAATTTTTGGCTTTGATGCACCACAAGGCAAAATATGTTATAGCATTTTACAATAATGGCATTTAGATGGGATTGGATGCCGAGCGGAGAATATATAAGAAATTTTCAGACAGAAAGGAAAATAAGTATGTTACGATGGTTGAAAGTCTCTAAGTTATCCAGAGGTCCTCTGCTGTTTTGGACATTTTATGCATAAGCAAATGCTACCGTACTTATGATTATCTTACAGGAGGCTTGAAAAATGATATTAAAATTAAAAGTAAACTTTGATAATTATATCATAGATTGTTTAGATAGAAACTGGTTTCTTTGACGTCACCCTGTATTGCTTGATTCTTATCCCTGACGTGGATGCAATGTCTTGCGTTGGGAAGTTTCGCCGGAGATTTTTTCTACGCTTTAAAACCCCACAGTCACTTATGAATACAGATCAAATCACGTGATACAAATCCTGTGCAGGTGCTACCCAGATGGTCACATGATCAATATTTCTATTGTGGGATTATTCAATGAGGTTGAGATTGTTTTCAAAATCGAACATTGTACATGCTATACTCCTAACTTCAGATAATTTTACATATAGGGACATTTTATGGCTCGACTTTTGAGTGAATGATCTTTTTCTTGGTAAAAGCACGGATAACATTCTGGCAGGTTTGACAGAAACTACACACGCGAGAAAGTTTGCAACCAAAGGTGGCAGGTGAGTATTTCCAATGCATTTTGATGGTTAATGTCGGTAGTAAAACAGATGACTAGGATGAGCATGCAAGGCGTCTGGGAAACGCCCTTAAAATACTCAGCGCGTCCGACTGCTTATTGATGCTGCATTGCAAATACACGCTAGCTTAGGTGCAGAAATAAACAACTATTGAGCTTCTACAAATGCAAGATACTTTTAGACCAAGAAATCTCAGCAAACGTTTCTGAATAGCAACGCTGTCAACAACAAGAACGGTACGCTACATAGTTCTTTCGAGTCCGGTATTCGTTGCACTTTGGACAAAGTTTAGGAGATTAAAAGCTATATAAAATCGTTGTATCAAACCTTATTCTGGACGCTTGAAAAATGTTTCTTAATAATATTTCCTAACAATTTTTTGTACCTGCAAAGTCCCGCAGGCTGATATGAGTATGTTCTTATGGGCTGTTTATTTTTACTGTTTGGTCGTCTTCAGTCTTTAGTAGGTCTTACTTTGTTGTAATAGCTCTTACTTTTTAATTATAGAAATTAAATATCATGCAAAGTAACTGTAGGCATGGCAAGAACAGGTCCCGCAAAAACTTGTCAGTCACTGCCTCGTACTGAATTATATTCTCGCTCTCGATATAACCAAGCAATTCTTGAGGAAGAAAAAACAAATTTGTTGAATTAAGAAATATGGATAGGCTATTTTCCTTTCCTGGTTATCAAAGCTATGCAAGATTTACTAAGAGCCTAATAGAAATTTCTTACTCACTCAAAAAAGATGACAATTTTGAATAAAAAAGTCCCGGATCTGTCAGAAACTTTTATTAACATGAATTTGCCAGTGAAATGAAATACAATGGCTTTGAAAAACTGCACATGTCTATTATCTCCATCAAAAAAGATAGCAAAGATTTTCGGGATAGTTCTTGTTTTACTAACTATCAGTGCTGAACTGATCAGAGACGTTTTTAATAACATGGCATTCAAAGCCTAGTCATCCTTTTGCATTAAGGAGCCTGTACGGTACGGCGTCTTTGCAATTGAGCAGCAGCAGCCATTGGAAGTTCATGCATGTCTACTTCTGTCAACTATCCGGTTATACTTCCCTAAGTTATTAGTTATGTAGGGATTCGAAATAAAAGACAACAAAAGTGAATATAGAACGTTTGATAATGTCATAGGTTTAGGTTTGTCGCACAGCCTGCTGAGAAGCACGTACTCAGTGAGATCCATCTGACACCAGGAATAACCCCTAATAAATCTAATCTAAGGTTATGGCAGAGTGACTGCCTCTTCTTTCACTGGCCTTATTACTATATTGGTCTAAGAAGGTCCTAATAATAGACGCCCCTCGTCTCAGACAGATTGAAGTTATAAACCTATTAGCCTTGCTTTTCGTATTTTGTTATGCTTTTTTGGTAGGGTTTGGCGAACGAAATTCTTAAAGAACAAGCCAGCAAAATACTGTATGATTCTACTGGATGGTATTGAAAGTGTTTTAATATGGGCTAGGCAAGCAGATTAAATCTTAATTCGTAGCATTAGAGGCCTTAATGCTTGTAGAATCTGATATTGCTTCCATGTCAGTGAATATAGTGGGCTTTTCTGGTGTTCATGTAACGGAAACAATGTCTTGATGTGAGCAGAAAGGCACAGAAAAGCACAGAAAGGCGCAAACAAATGCTTATCGATTTGGTCCTTTGCTTTCTTGTAGAAATATAAATGGAGCATTGCACATTGGTCAACCTTCTAATGTGGAAGGATGTCAGAAAGTCAGCTGCTATGTTCGTTTTCTGCCTGTTCCTGATGACTGCTCTATCTTTCTATAGTGTTTTGACAGTGTTCACATGCATTACAATACCATTTTTGACTGTCATGCTGACACTAAGAGCGATATGGGTGCTCAAATGTGCATTTATGAAAGAGTCCCTGGATAATCCATTCCAGTAAGTATTCTAAAGTGTGAATTTTAGACTTTTTTTAGAATTTTCACTCTTCAAATGATTTGGTAGATTTTAGACTCAGCCCGCTACTATAAGGTGCTTTAAGATTAACTGGGTACATCCTTTTTTCTATAAGAACAATTTTATAAAAACACGAGCCTCAAAACTGGTCAAAAGTTAAGAACAAATTAAGAACAAGCTGAGGCTGAGCTTCTGGAAAATGCTATTTTGAACAACGTTTTTTCTCAAAATCGAGGATTTTTAGCGGTGTGTGGGTGCTTTTTCGGTGAATACTCAAATTTGTCAGCAAATTAAGGCTGTCTCACTCACTTTGTTGACAAATGAGGCCTGAACACCTCCTTGGAGCGAAAAAGCTAGCAATAGCACTGCTTACGCCCTCTTAATTTATGAACAAAGTAAGAACAATCCAGCCTCAGATTTTCGAAAAAATTAAGAACAGTGTCAGCCTGAACTTAAATTTACTGGTTCTTATAAAAAAAAGTATATTACACCAGCTCCAATACAATTTTGTATATAGCTTTTGGCAAGCTTTTCCCTTTCAATAGTATCATATATGGGTATTTGCTTCTGTCAGGTATACTACGATGCTTTGTTAGTCTGCCTGCAGTTATCCTATGCATTAGCCCTTGAAAGTGTTAGTTACTTGCCATGAAATCTCAATCTTGAAAGAAGCAAAAACAAGTAAGAACTTTCTGTGATCAAACACGCAGCAAGCATCCCAGAGAGGCACCTGCCAATATTATGACATATTCATTCAACAATACAATTCAACCGATTTTTTTTCAGACCTTGGCTGGATACAGATGTCGAATTAAACGGGGAAAAGGTTAGTGCTGATGTCACTTCCTAACAACGAGAGTTTTTCTCCTCGAAAACATCATATTTTCATTGGCAAAAAAGTTGCATTTTCGTTAGCTATTCTTAATATCACTGATTTATTAAAATATTAACAGAGGTATGGAACACCACCTTCCTGTCATAACCTTTTTGAAGGGAAATTAGTTGCGGGGGCAAGCCTTTGTTTATATAAAGGGGAGAACAAGCCTGTTGTTTAAAACAACAGAAAGTCGCTGGGGCTGGAGGGGCAACTGTCCCCCTAGTTAGTTTGATAAAAGATGTCCTGCTTTTTGTCACCTTTACGGGGATAAGTATGCAATCATATATATAAAATCTAAAATATTTTCAAAAAGATTTCTGGGACAAATTGCGATGATGAAATTAATTGTATCTTGTTATAAGACAGTCAGTACGCAGACAATAATTCACTTTATCCTCAGCCGATAGAGTTCTATTTATCACAATTAAAACACCTTAAAGTTGAAACAAGTGCATCTCATAGAACATTTATTCGCTTTCAAGGGGTGAATCAAACCCCCACAGACATTTACAATTGAAAATATTTTTTTCAATGATACCTTTGAAAAAAGCAAACTCCTTCAGAAATACTAAAGCTTTTCCTCTGATGCCTCTCAGTATAAATCGTCAGAATAATAATCGAAAATGTGGAATTAGAAAATGTATACCTAAATGTGGATCAAAAAGAGCCAAACACAAATGCAAGCACATGACGGGTGTATAAGGTATTGGGCTACCCAACCAGTGGTGCGAGCCTATAGGAAATATTGCCACTGGAGTCCAAGAGGTGAAACGAGCTCCTTATGACTATACAAAAGCGGTTTTCTCATTTTTGTGTAAATGTCCATGTAATTTTACATGTTAGAATGATTGTCCATATTAAACTGAAAAAGTTTTGCACTTGTCAATTTTCGCTGACTTTTTGAAAGCGGGTATCGGAGTAACTATGTATTATCCCACAGATTTCCAAATACAACACGTATTTTCTACAGTTCATCAGTGACTGGGCAGTTTTCTTAAGAAAATTAGTGCTTGTAGCTGATATGATGAACACTGCGAAGGTAAGCTTCGTTTTTAATTCACGAGACGTCTGCAACGGGGATTTTGAACAATTTTCCAACCACATCATTTGGTGATAGCAAGAGTACAGACAGCGAATTGTAAGCTGATGGGTCAACAATATGTGTATGCCACCTCTGCTATCTCCAACTCTTGCTTAGTAAACCCATGTTTTTGTATGCTTAGATGTTAGCTTGACCATTGACAACCTAACACTTGTCTTCAAAGTAGATTGGTATATCTTTAAGTTAACCATGCTTTGCCAACTTCCTCGTCTTATTCAGCAAAATACACCCACCTTTTAGAATTCTTAGTCCTGGTAGATGTACTCTCTAGAACTCTTATTTGGGACAATGACACCGGGGCACGGGACCCTGAAAGAGCCAGGCCCTTACCCTTGTAAAATTAAGCAATTTTATTTATTTTGCTGTAGTCTAGCCCTTTTTCTTGGCACTTTGCACCCTTCCCTGGAGCTCATCCAGCCTCGCTCGGTTGGAACTGTAGACACATGCACAAGGAAATAAAAAAAGTCACGAAGAACGAAGACGTAAAGGGATCAATCTAAACCCAATTAGCATAAGATGGCAACAACATAACTAAACGCAAAGTATAAACTTCAATTTGATTTAGTTTGAAAAACGGACTCTAAAATCATTTCAATACATCTGAAGCGAAGCTAGCTTTTCGTAACATTTACTATTACCAATATGATCTTGGTAAGATCATCCTTATCAGCGTTTGATACAAGTTTGCATAGCGCCAATGAATTTGCATAAAGAAATGAAACATAATGGACTCACCGTCGTCATTTTTAAGACCGACAATGCAGCATGACAGCTTTCTAAACGTGGTTTTCTGTTGTTTTTAGGCCCTTGGCGTCCTGTTTTTCATGTATCACCTTGGGAATAATTTCAGCGGCATCACACTACTATTTGCAGGTAAGACTAAACAGCGGCTGGTCCACCGGGACCACGATTTGAAAAGTACTTGAATATACAAAACCTTGGTAAGCCTTTTGTTGTAGGGTTCTCAAGCGAATCAAAGGTTGGTCTTACCTCTGCCTCAGAATGCTGGAACGTGACGTCAGAGCATTGATTACTCACTATAATGCTGATTAAACTTACCAAAATACTTAGCCCTGAAATAAATTTCTTGTGGTTAATCCTTCTGTTAACAAAATCATAATTTTTTTCCTTGGTTTTCTTTAAAGTGGCTGAGTGATGATATCAAATAATCTATTGACAACATTTTCGATTTGGAGGAATAATCTGAATGAGTACCATAAACACCTGTAGCTATAAAAATTACTAAAATCTGTTGCAAATTGGCTGCGATGATGTTTCGCCATTTGAAAACTCAAAGTTTACTTAAATGGCCGTTGTTTTGGCAGGCTTCATGATTAGGATTTTACCCAAGTTGGACAGATTATATTTTTAAATTTGCTTTTAGATGGGCTTGAATTCAAAACTCTGAACATATATCTTATGACGTCATCACACAGCCTTTATGTAACTGTAGAATATCGCTCTATCGACTTAGGGATAAAGTGTAGTAGAATACGATTCACTTTCAAAAAGGAGCTTTAGTTCTCGCAGGTTATAGAGTTCTAAAGTGTGACGTCATCAAAAACCTATTTTTAGAATTTTTGAATTTTAACCACATGGCGTAAAAGATCACCATGAAATACTTATGCAAAATTGGCCAGATATGTCTAAAAGCGGTTGAGATATGGCTAATGAAAGATTTGAAGTTTGCTAACGAATCACTGTTATTTTGGCTCTGTTCATAAAGTTATGAACAGAGACCAAAATACAGAGGTTTGATGGGGAGAGAACTAGTAAACATGTGGCCATATCTCTGCCATTTCGTAATACACTTGCCTGATTTTGCACATTTAGAGGTATTTTATGATGATCTTTCAGGTTATGGAGTCAAAATTCAAAAATTCTAAAAATAGATTTTTGTGACGTCATCACTTTAGAACTCTATTGTAAAGATTCACATTACAGCACGTACATATTTGATACAAAATTTAATGCCAAGCCTTCGAAAAAAACTTAATGCAAACATTTACCTTGCCATCTGCCGAAACTCTCCTCTTGTAAAAGGTTCGAAAAACATTTACAGAAAATACGGTTAACAACTGCAAAAGTCTGAAGTGAAACAACTATTAACATTAGAAGATCACAGCACGTACATATTTGTTACAAAATTTAATGCCAAGCCTTCGAAAAAAACTTAATGCAAACATTTACCTTGCCAGCTGCCGAAACTCTCCTATTGTGAAAGGCTCGAAAAACATTTATAGAAAATACGGTTAACAACTGCAAAAGTCTGAAGTGAAACAACTATTAACATTAGAAGATCACAGCACGTACATATTTGTTACAAAATTTAATGCCAAGCCTTCGAAAAAAACTTAATGCAAACATTTACCTTGCCAGCTGCCGAAACTCTCCTATTGTGAAAGGCTCGAAAAACATTTATAGAAAATACGGTTAACAACTGCAAAAGTCTGAAGTGAAACAACTATTAACATTAGAAGATCACAGCACGTACATATTTGTTACAAAATTTAATGCCAAGCCTTCGAAAAAAACTTAATGCAAACATTTACCTTGCCAGCTGCCGAAACTCTCCTATTGTGAAAGGCTCGAAAAACATTTATAGAAAATACGGTTAACAACTGCAAAAGTCTGAAGTGAAACAACTATTAACATTAGAAGATCACAGCACGTACATATTTGTTACAAAATTTAATGCCAAGCCTTCGAAAAAAACTTAATGCAAACATTTACCTTGCCAGCTGCCGAAACTCTCCTATTGTGAAAGGCTCGAAAAACATTTATAGAAAATACGGTTAACAACTGCAAAAGTCTGAAGTGAAACAACTATTAACATTAGAAGATCACAGCACGTACATATTTGTTACAAAATTTAATGCCAAGCCTTCGAAAAAAACTTAATACAAACATTTACCTTGCCAACTGCCGAAACTCTCCTATTGTGAAAGGTTCGAAAAACATTTATAGAAAATATGGTTAACAACTGCAAAAGTCTGAAGTGAAACAACTATTAACATTAGAAGATCTAATAGTTTGAACATTACTTATGCTTCTATGACACTCGAGGACAGCCAAAAAGTAACTGTCTGTGGTAGTTTTGTTTTTCAGGGTTAAATTATGAGGCGATTTTTTACTAAGGTAAATGTAACACGAATTGTCCTAGCATTAACGGCAAATATCATTATCTTTCAGGCATTCTAATTGCTTTCACTGTCCCTAAAATTCATGACATGTACAAAGATGAGATCAACAAAATTAAATCGACCATCTTCGATAAATACGACAATTTCCGCTCAAGGTACTTTTACGATATTCTAGTGTTCTTATCATTGAAAGCTAGATATCTAAAATAGCTTTCGTATCAGTGGGGAAGAAAAGTATGCGCGAAGTGAAGAGAATAAACTTTTTTATCAGTGTCCAGTAACTTTTTTTTTATCATAACAACTCACTTTTTTTTAGAAATTGCAAAAACGTTGCTTTGAGCATTTAATTTGGTTATTGTGAAAATTGATAGAAATTGGTGACCACTATATCAAGAAATTAAAATTCAAGACTGATTGAAAAAGTGGCAATACTTGAGTTTTAAACAAACATCGATTATAGACGAAAGCGTGAAGGGAAAATGTGTCCAAAATAATGACATCAGAATTTGATGGGCGCATATGATTGGTTCCTTGTTTGACCAATCGGCCATTACTGATGTCTTTCTATTTTTGAGCATTGTCTGACTTTTCAAAATCTGAATGTGATCTAACGCTTAGACATCCCAATGACTTTCCATCATTTTCGCGCAATCAACTTTCTGATTTCTTGTTTTAGAATACAAGCAGTTATTCCGATTGGAAAAACCGAGAAGAAAAAAGAATAGATTAATTATGGATAGAACCAAAATACAGAACACTGGAGTTGGCAATGCTGCACACGTCATATTTATATATAAAATGGAGGTAAAATTATAAGCTCTGCATCCACTACCCGAATAACACTAAGATATCTTACTTACAGAAAACTACAAATATTTAGTTTGTCCCCATAATCACCGCTGTTTGTCTCAGTTAGAGCCAAACGGAAACTATTCAGATGACGTAAAAGGGAAATAAAGAGACAAAAGCTGCCACATTAGGCAAGAACGATTTTCCATGTTTTCCAACTTTCTTTAAAATTTCTTAATTCTTAAAAGCGCAGCAATACAAGATTATGAACTAACAGCTCTTCGGTAATTCTGTTGTGTTTACCTCGAAGTCGTACCGTAACTTGCCAACATTCAGTCTACTGAACACTGTGACCAAGTACGTTATCCACTCTCCTTAATATAGGTCAGGTATCAGAGTTATGCACCGATTTTGCTGCTGAAGGTATTGTAATATAAATGATTCGTGCTTTGAATATGGTAAAAAAAATGCACAGCACAGAGTTTATCGTTAAGAAATTAAACAGCCGAGTGCATATTTCAAAATATATCTAGTTATTGACTGATATTTGATTGGATAGCTTTTTAAAAAAAGATGAAATAGACAGATGATTCAAAGAAAGACCCTGAAACATAATACACATAACAATTCTTCAAATGTGAAGAAGAATGAATAAATTATAGCAGCTGTAACTAAACGTGTCAATTGTACCGTTTAGCCAACATCAATATGCAGTTATATTTTCGTTAATTTCTCGTACATCCTTCGAAGCGTTCATATTTCGACGTATAAAAATGGTTCCAAACAGAAATAAAGGGCGCTTGCGCCTTTCGCGGTTGAAACATGTGAAGCATCTCATAAGATTCAGCATGGTCATGGAGTCAATAATGATACCCTGGGTACCAGAGTTTAAAGAAACCGTGGATAAAGTACTGTAAACCGCTGAAGTAAAGGATGAATAGCAGGGTTTGCATACCCTTCTCGCTCAAATGAATTTTTCAGTGACTGGTTTCGAACTATAATTCTGAGACTAAATTATGGAGACTCTTGCACCCAGTGTACAATAATCAGAGCAGCAAATAAACAAAAGTTGGACAATAGAGAGTCATTAAAATCATTAAGAGAGAGAACAGTATTTCAATTGCTTTTATTTAGTCGAAATTATATACAAAAGGTTAACAATGGGCTGGATATTTACAACAATTGGCATTAAAAGCACTGATCCAGGAAAGCCGTGGAAAAATCCACTATTTGGTCTTTATATCGATATCTGGGACATAGGAGGCAGCTTGCCAGAAGGAGGCCGTGCAGCCAGGTTGGCTTCTAAGTCTCGGATCTGCAAACGAAGTTTGCGGATCTCATGCTTTTGCAAGTCTATAATGTGCCTGGCTTCTTCCTCGTCAAAGATGCTGTCTTTCAGCTTTTCTTTAACTCCATTGGTTTGTTGGAGTCCAATGCCCGTCACGTGCTGCTGTTTACGCAAGACATTAAGAGAGGTTTCCAGGTCATGCACCTGCGTTCGCGACATTTTCAATTCACGACGAAGATCGTTGATTTCGTTGATTAACATGACGTTTTCCTATGAAATGTTGAGTATTTGTGTCATCAAAATAATCGAAGACGTAAAGAAAAAAGGCGTTTTTAAGCTATGTATAAACCAGTTGAAAGTTTCGCAAAAACTTGCTTGAAGATTTTTTTTCGTCCCGAGGAAATTTAATTCAAAAGTAGTTATCGGGCAATGTTGTTTTTTCCAAGTGAAGCCTTTTTGGCATTGGTGTAGTAATTTTTCAAGATGGCAGCCTGAGCTCATTTTGTGATAAGTCAAAACCTAGATATTTGAAAAGATCCAACTAAAAATAAGTTTATGAATAAATTATACGCATTTTAGACTAAAAAATCCTGCACTTTATACTCACACTTTTTCAGCGAGAAATAAATCGTAAAAATGTTTGCATAGATTTCTTTAGACGTTAATTGACGGACAAAGCTACCTGTCAGGTTTTTCAATTTCTTTTTAAACGTTATAATGATGAGCCGTGGGAACGATGATGTGTGGGTGATCAAGACAGGTGAAAAAATTAAAAGTTCTGTAAGATAGCTTAAAAAGATAATTGTTGAATTAATAAAAGACTCATTTCTATAAAAAAAATCACGGACCGAAAGGCAGTCTTGCTGCCACAAAGCCAAGTCCTTTAGGGCAACGTTAAACAGTCTTTTCAAATTTACTTTATCTCTTAGTTTTTAGCCTAACAACCTGGCTGAACGAATATAACTGTCAACAAAGTTTTGGCGGCCAGGTACTGCTTCACATCCTTTTACCGAATGTTATCTGGCTGCAGCTGTGTTAGTAGACAGTCAAGTAAATGGTTTATTAGATGGCGAAACTAACGTAAGGCAAACGAGAACAAGACAGATGTTTTACGAAAAGCTCCATGGAAGTCAAAGATCGAAAAACACAATGAAACATCGTAAAACATGATGGCCAAACCATTGGAACATGCCTTATCCAACAATGTTTGATGCCAATGGTTGATACGTTTGGCCAGGGCCTAAAATTTGAATCTGACAGGAATGCAATTAATTCAAAACGTGACACATGAAAATCAAAGAATTGGTATATTTGGAAATGCTTTTATCGAATTGTCCAAGTTTTTGAAAGGAAATCATGGCCCCTGCTGCACTAACTCAATGCTGAAAGGTCCCTGTTAGCAATTTGGTGTCGAATATCGATAAATTTTAGGTGGAGACAGCAATCTGACTTGTTCCCTTCAAACATAATTTCGCAACAAACACATTTATGTTTCATATTGCCAAAGTACGATTGCTAGCTATAATCGCCACAGCTACGATTTCATACCTGCATGATTCGGACATTGTCAGCTCTGTGGATTTCAGTGTCCTTGGCTAATTTCTTGCGCAGTGAAGCGACACTTCTTTCAAGATGCTCCCTTTGTCTTGCGTATTCCTGCTGGATGTCAGCATCGATGCCAGCTTGCTCTGGCTGCAATGAGAATTAGGACATATGTCTAAACCTTCTATTACAATTGCAAACATATAACAAGCATGTTAGTGGCTTTTAAGACTCCCAATAATTTAGTCTCTAGCAAATTATGGTTTAGGAAAATTTTTCAGTATCATAGATCATAAAATGTAAGTAGTTAGTTGTCTAGGCCGAGGAAGATGGAAAAGGAGCAGTCTCCATAAAAACCTCGCATGAAAGTGCTCACAAAAATGTAGCATATAATTGACTTTTTCAGGTAGATGCTGCCATTTCACGATAAAAATCCCTTTAAAAACATCTGCTAACAACTGAACATTTTTAAGCGATGCTCTAAAATCTTACATACAAGGTTGAGAAAGGTGACTGGGTTGAACATCCAGAGGTGCGGTTCCTTTTCTGACGAACAGCAGAGAACAGACGAATGAAATGGCACATAAAGAGTTTTGATGATCAAAATACATTCTGTTTATTGACAGGGATCAAAGGGCAGCTAAAACAGCAAGGCTAAAGCATGTCGCGGATTGCAAAAAGGAACACAGGCTGCAGTTACGAATCATTGATAATAACAGCCTAAAATATGCCCGAGTCTTACCGTATCATCACTGACATATTTAACATAAATCTGCTTGATGCTTTCTTTGAGTTTCTTTGGTTCTTGTATCAGGCCGACTGTATTGTGCAGATCAGTTTTGAATCTTTTGACCAGTCCTTCGATGTCATGAACCTGAAATATTCATGCATAGTGAGTTAATGTCTGAACAATTGAATATGGCTTATTTTGATAGTAAGATAATCTAATGTATCACATACTCTAACAGAAGGCGTGTGTTTATTTGATATTCGTGGCGTAGCTAGTAAGGGTGGAGGGTGGATGTAGAAGGGGTTGTGACAATACTTGATGGGTTGGTCGGTAAAATTCCACAGGAGATGTTCCTCAAACCTCTAATTTGTCGGTGAAATCCTTACCAGTATTTGAAATAGCACCTTAATTTTTGTTCATGTTTGTCTTCGTGTGTCAAATAAAAAAGGGTGGCTTACAGGCTTACAGGATAATGTAATGGCTATTTTGATAATATGATAAAAATGACAATGTCACAGTGACATAGTGTAATGCACTGCAGGACAGACGTGCTTCTATGGAAGCTCAAGGGTATTTGCAGTGTCGTCGTGAGGAAGGTTATGAAATGTTGGATCTATGGGGGGAGGGGGGGGGGGCAAAAACAAAACTTTTATTGACAGTGCTAAAGTTCATCTAATTTTGAACTAAGGACATTGCTCAAGTCTGTTAGGACAACTGCTAGTAATACGTAATGTCATTATCACCTTTTGTCTTTCCTGGTACATCTCCTTCTCAGTTGCTTTCAGTTTCAACTTCAGTTCTTCGATGTTTAATTCCAAATTCGTATTTTGCTTATGAAATCGCTCAAGCTCACTTTCCATCTACAGTGATTGAGAAAAAAATTGTTGAAACAAAAAATCTGACACTGATTCACAAGGCGCAACATCCAACAGAAGTTTACCTACAATGTGGATGATTGTAACAGCCTGTAACTTATGCTTCAAATCGTTTTTTCATTTCATTATTTCAGATCGCAAAAAAATTCTGACGCTCATATAGAAATAAAAATTAAATATGATATCCTAACTCGCATCTGAAAAAATCCAAATCAACGATCAGCAAAATTTATAATATGTTCTTCAAAACTACAAAAAGGTGAGTTAAGATAAAATGATTCATGCCTCTTGGATTTGTTCCTTCATCGCCTTGATATCATTCTCCCTCGGCTCAATCTGCTTCTTCAACTCTTTGATTTTATAATCAAGAACAAACTTAAATTTTTCCAGTTCTTGGTTTTTCTTTTTCAAATCGTAAATTCGCTTTTCCTACAAAAAATAACCCATGCCATTATTTTCATGCCGCTACTAACTGAGGGCGAGAATAACGATACAAGTATGGACAAAATTGCCCGGCGAATGGTTAAACAAGTATTTCAAAAGACAAAATACCAAAAAAGCCAGATGCTAAAATTTGGGGTGTCATAACATCACAAAACAATGTGAATTATGCCTATCTGCTAAAAATTCTCTAGGATTATCATTCTATCTAAGCTTTTTTCCTCTTTATTCATTTGCATAAAGTTTGGTTGGCCAAAAACGCCCAATTAGCGTTCCTTAGTCAAGTATTTAAAAGAAATTCAGAATTTAATGAAATTGTAACGGTAGTAGGAGGAAATTGGGTTATTTGGAGAAAAACCAATAATGTTTTTACGTTTTTTGCCATCTTTTGTAAGGATTCGACCTTAAAAACAAGGAAAGAAAATATACAGTTCGTTGCCTGAAATTTGTAAAAGTAATAAATGCCAGCATACTTTGTCTTGAATAGTTTCATCCCTTTCTTGAATTTCTTTTTTCAGGCCATAAATGTCTTTCTCAAGAGACTTTATTATTCCCTGTAGCTTATTTTGCTCTCCGTGGAGACGCTGAATTTCGCTTTTGTGCTCATCAATTTCTTTCTGAAGACTTGAAAACTGAAACGTAAAAAGAAATAGGACAATACATTAGAAAGAGACTTACAACAAATGTCTTGCTCAAATTTAAAAAATTGAGTCATCTAATACATTTTATAAAGAAGAAAGTATGTCAAATCCAGCGATAATGAGACAGTGGTAATAAGTAAAAACCTACCTAAAATGAAATGGCACTCTTTGTGAGAAAATACTTGCAGTAATGGAGATCTCTTCAGGGAAAGAAAAACAGTTACTTTTACACAAACAATTAAAATATATTTTACCTTTTTCCTCATAATCCCTGTTTCTCCCTTGAGTCTTAAATTTGATTCCTTCTCCTCTCGCAATTTCCTCTCATATCTATTCTTTATATCTAGAATTTCCCTATCAGCATCCTCCTCTATTTGCTTTTTGGTTTCTTCGTACTCTCTAAGTTGCTGTCGACCCTCTTCAGTTGTCTAGAAAAGAGAAGATAAATTCTAAATCTCCTGACGTCATCATAGCTAAATTATTTCCCAGGTCACTTTTTACCCACGCGTATCATATACAGTACAACCAAACACTCACACAACTACATTGTTGTTGATAAAAAACGAAAAGACACTATGTCACGACTAAATTCGTTGATTACCTTAATTCTCATTGGATGATTTACACAATAGGCTATTGTTAAAGTTTCAGCTAGTGCCAAACGCTCTAGTATATTGCCATTCTGAACGTGCCACGTAGCTTAATGTTAACTGTCTCTGATCCAAGTAATTATAAAGCAGTTATTATATCCTGATATCAGAGGGAAGCATTTAAGACAAACCTGGTCTAGATGGCCTTGCTTTTCTTGAAGCTTCTTTTCATAGTATTCGGTATTCTCCTCAAGAGCTCTTTCCTTCGAATCTTCCATTTCTTGCAATTGTCTCTCGTAGTCCTTCAAGATGCATTAGAATAGAAATGAGTATCGGTATGAAATAAGAACAGTTTTCAAGTTCAGCATCATTCAATTAGCATTGTTACTTTTTTCGCTAAAGGAAATAGCGATTTTAAAAAAAAGAACATTAATTCTAAATAACTGTACTCAGTTCCAATGAAATACTTTGCACTTTTTGATATTTCGCTCATCTATCGTATCTTATCTTGTTTTTCAACAAGAAACCTTCGAAACATTCTTTTTTCATTCTCCAAAGCCTTGCAAGGCAATTATACCTGCTGAAACGTCTATCGACAATATTCCAAAACAATCTAAAGAAGTAGCGTACCTCCTGCATCTTTTGGCTCTTATTCTGCAGTTCTTGGTACTTTTCATACTCTGACATAAGTTTCTTATTGTTAGCTGATTCCAAGTCTTCCATTTCTCTCGAATGCTTTTCAAACAATTCACCAACTTCTTCCTCGTGCCTCGCAGATTCTTTGTCTTTGTCTGTTCTCAAAACTTGATTTTTGGTTTTCAAAGACTCCATTTCTTGAATGAATTTTTCTGTCAACTCTTTTATCTTTTCATTGTAGTTCATATCTTTGATTCGCAGTTGATACTCGTTTTCCATTTTCAGCTCTTCAACACGGGTTTTGAGTTCAGTCATGAGAGCATTCTGGAAATGATCATCATAATCATAATCAGAAATATATAGCATCATAATCATCATACAATTAAATATGTACGTTGTGTGTGGTACTTCATCCAAAATAACGATAACACTTGATAACGAGTACATGCTCGAAACGTCGTGTTTTTAATAATCAAACTATTTATTTTCATTCCGGTACTCAATTTATTTGCTAACTATATCAGTGGATGGAAAACGAGGCCGAGGAAGACCAAGAACGAGATGGAGATGGAGGATTCGGGCGACCAACCCTGATTAATCGGGATAACGTCTAAGGAGGAGGAGAAGAAGAAGATCATCATAATCATCATACCTCTAATGCTAATCAGGACCATAACCACGTTCAGAATAGGAATCATCGTGATAATTCTGATCTTTAAAGTACATATGAAAACAAAAAATCTGAGAAAAAGATAGAGAACAAACCTTTTCCTCAAGGTCTGATTTTGTAATCAAAATTTCTTCCGCATACGTCACTTCTTTCTCTCGCTTTCCCCTTCCTTCTTTGTCCACAATTTTGTGGATGAATAAGCAAGCATCTTCACTGACAGTGACCAAGTACTGGTCATCATATGTGATTCGCATCTACGACAAAAGGCATATCATATGGCATATAACTATGATTTGACAACAACAACATATAACCACACCTAGGCTCAGACGCATTGATTTCAATCCTCTCATGCTTTGCAGAAACAAGAAACTCTCTATAATACCTATTTAATTAAGTGATAAATTAATTACAGCACAGATAGGCTATAGAAATTTTGTTTAATTCATTTTTACAACATACCTTTGTTATCGATCCAGCATGAGAGGGTAACTCGTTCCATTCTCCTGGAACCGTCAGTGGGAATTTGAATGCTCGAAGTGCTCCAGTGTTTGTACCACAAAACAGCATTCGGCCAGATCGAGAAAGGGCTACTTGCGTGAGCACAGTGTCGTTTGCAGGCACGTCTCGAAGAATCTGTAGAGAACAACCATCGACATTAAAATTCCTAAAGTATGTTTACAAAAATAGCATAACGATATGAGGTCCTTTGAGTAAGCTACAATGCGTTACACAGCTGCAATTAAGTGTAAATAAAACGACACATTTGATACCTTATTTAAAGAAATGAAGCAATGTTTAAAAATTTTAAAGAATATTGATTACTCGCCAATATGAACAATATCGGCTCGACTAATTTAGGAACTTAAAACTGTAAATAAAGGTTCGTGAGATGCTGCAAGCAACTCGCCTCGGGCAACTTTGCAGAACAATTATTGTGTGCCAGATTAAGGGGACAACACTTGAAAAACATACCTGGTTGTCTGTGATTTCTTTCAAAGTTCGGTCAGAGCCAACAGCAAAGACAGTTTTGGCATCTGGAGAGACAGCCACGCAAGTATAGCTGCATGACTTGAGAACACTTTCACCTTCACGCTTCTGACTGCCAATGTTCCATTCATAGACAGCGCCATCCATTCCACAAGAAATGAGCTTACTGTCATCTTGAGTCCATCGAATACACCGTACCTTTCCATTGTGGCCTTTGAGATTGCCAACATTCTCAAAAGTTGTTGACGAATAAAGCTGGATCACGTTGCCATGGACTGCAGCAAAAAGGTGACCACCATTGCTAAACAGACACTGAAAAGGACAACGAAGTTCATCAATACAGTAGATAAGGAAGCTAATTCCTTTGATTAGTGTTGCATAGGTGATAACACAAATAACAGAACGTGAATTAATATAACGAGCTCAAGGCAGAAAGAAAAAATTGCTATATCTTGATTAATCCAGAAATTCAAAATATATCCATCACAATATATTTCTCAAACAAAGCAAATGCACAAAAACAAGAGCAATCTTCTACTAAAAACATTCGAAAATATTATTTTTTTATCACAATAAAAACAAATACAAAAAGAATTGATCATTGTTGAGATGGAGGCAAAAAACATAACGTTATCGAGTGGTCTCCACATCCAACATTATAAATATTCCAAAACTTAGCGCTATAAATACACTATAAATACCCAATACAGAACAACACAGCACAATACAATAGAATACAGTACAAATACAGTACAATACTGTACAAAATGCAACTTTGGATAGGTCATCATGTTAGTTCAGTTATATAAATATTATTTTCAAGACAAGAAGTGAACCAATAAGTAGTAAATCATAACACACCTCTCTGCAGCCTCTTATAGTGAACTCCTTAAATGATCTCACATCATCAATGAGCAAGTTCATTAGACGCAGTTTGTCACTGAATCCTACAAGTATGAACAGTCCAGAAGGATGAAGAGCGATACTGTAGGCCTCCTCTTGAAACTGCTTGTAGAGCTCCAATGAGCTGAAAGTTTGAAAAAAACAATTAATTACAAACTCTTTGTTTATACTTCTAAAGGAACATTCTATGACAAAGAATAGTGTCAAAACTGTTTGCAACAAAGCACCACTTGACAAACACTAACCTTGTTTCATAGTTCCAAATTCTTATACTTCTATCCATACCACAAGTTGCGACCAATGGCTTACGAATACAAACATCAAGTCCAGTAATCTGGGCCACATGAAAGGACTGGGACAAGATTTCAAAAGCTGCTTGTTCTCCTTGCTGTAAAAGAACTTATAGTAATTTTTGGGTCTTAAACATTCTGTAGAATTTAGCCAACACATGATTTTAACAACTTAAAGGACAAGTGACACGCTTTTGGCGCCAAATTTTTTTCTTCTTTTAACTTAAAGTAAAATGCTGAATGAGAGTGTTGTTGAAATATTTTTCCTTTCTGATTTCATTTTCCTACTTAAAAACCCTTTTCAAATTATGGCGGGAAATGAATCACGTGACACCTTGACGTATATTGTGATAATTTGTTATTGCTGCTACTTGTATACAGTGCAATATTAACTTTTACAACACGCTTCTAAACGAATTCCGTTCGTCTGGACCTGTTGTGTCGTGTTTCGTAAACTCTCTATTAATGGCAGGAAAATTCTGAGTTATCACAATGTCATCATAGGGTCACGTGATAAAAAAAAAATTGCACCCCCCTGCGCCCCCTGATTAGAATTTTTTGTTCTAAACCAGGAAAAACTTATTTCTAAATGATGATCTATAAGTTAATGAAAAGAAAAGATCGGGTGAAAAGTGTGTCACTTGTCCTTTAAAGATATGACTATGAAGAAATTTATTTACTCAGTTTTAAACACAAGAGAAATGACTCTGTGCATTTCAAACCCCAATCTAAATGAGCTCGTATATGATGCTAAAGAAAAATGGCATAACAAAAAAACTTAGAGTCTGATATATTTTCTGATAATTAATCATTTTCTTTACAAAAGGGCAATAGTCTTAAAAGTATTGCTGTCAATTTACTATGCTAAAATGATACTTTTTTATGTGAGGAATTTTATTTCATTGTTAGCTACACATGCTACAACATGCAGCCACTGGCAAGAACAAAAAAGTGTCACATGATACCACAACCTGATGTGATTGTGCGTCAGTACACACAGTTGAAAACTGTTCCTTTACATGCATTAGCATTTCAATAATATTTTCTTTTTACTTAAAACATTAAAGGGGCTTTAAAAGATTGTTGTTTAAATATTTGCAAAAATTTAAATAATTTGAAACCATCTCAAGATAAGCTACTGTTTCTTTTGCTCAGACTCTTAATGAGACTTTTGCTCCTAGTCAGTTAATGTAGAACTTACCTTTCCAAGGTCTGCACTTGACAATGTTATGCTATACAACTGATTGTCCCTTGTGCTGGACACCAATGTTTCTTCTGAAGGACTCAGTGTAAGACAGTTAATCACTTGATTCCTTGATGCCTCAGGGTCAGCACTCTGACTGTCAGGAGGGATCCTGATTTCCTTTGCCTTTTTATAGAGCTCCTTATCTTCAGTTTTGTCAAAAAGATGGACTGTACCCAAACCAGAAGAACATATTATTCCTTTAGAAAATGCCAAAACAGATTGGACAGCAAATGGGTTGTCTAAAATGCTGACACTTTCTGAAATACTGGCAACAGATGGTCTGAAAAATAAAAATTTATTCTTATAGATATGTTTTCACCAAAGAGTGGGCTGAACCACAAGAAAGATTACCAACTATGCTAAGTAGAAGTTCCAGAATTGATACATAGTTTAAACACCTGGAGGTCTTTGAGTAGCATGCTAGTGTACATACTATTTGACAACCATCCACACACTATACAGAAGTCTAACAAAAGCAAAGAACAAATGAAAGAATTTTCTGATTGTAAGCATAACTTTGCAAACCATTTTGGAAAGATATAAGCATGCGGCATATTCAAGATACCCAAACTGGACCAGGGGCAAAAGGACTGTGGTTTGCAAAAGGGCTAAAAAAAACCACAGTCAGCATTCATGGTTTACAGTTTGTTTCCAATATTCAAATGGTATGTAAAGAAAATTTTGAACAAAGGAAACTGATCAGTCAATATTTTAGCATAAATTACCTGCCAACAAGATTTCCAGCACTTCCAATTGCTGGGGTGGAAGTACCAGCAACAGTGAATTCGGCTTTCAACTCGCCAGACTCAAATAAAAGCATCTTTCCAGCATCAGTTCCAACAACTATCCTCTCCTCAGTTATCCATGCATGACACAGGTAGTTCCTCTGCAATTCTGACTTTTGGAATGCAAACTGTTTCAAATTCCCTTCATTGTACCTGAAAAGCTTGAATATTCCTTGACCAACAACACATAGCTGTGTGTTGTCTTGTGGGTTGAAGCTTACCTAGAAAAATTCAATATACAAAGGTCATTGATGCACAAATGGCAATTCTAAGGTTAAAAAATATATATCATTACATGTACTACTTACCTCCTGATGACATTGTAGTGATAACATATAAGCTTTTCTTCACATTGTTTTGTTCCTGCTGTGTTTTTCATGCTACGCTTTGCTGCTTGTATATACTGCTGTGTTTATTTAGGAAAGTTCAGTTGGTTTGAAATAAGATAAAAACATGACATACATCTCTTACTATCGACTTTGCTCTTCAATAATTCTTCCTTCAAAACTGTACTTTATTAAAAACAGAGGTTGTTAAAACATCAAGAAAAATTTTCCAAAACTGAAGTCCTTGCGGAAAATAGTTGGAACACCTAAAAATTAACATTCAAAATTTGATAATCCAAGGATTTAATTGACCTTCCAATTTGATTGCCTCCAATATAATGTTGATTCCTTCACTGAGACCTTATCTGGTCATTTTCCCCTCAAATATCTGGTCATTTAAACTTCTGACTTCTGATAACAAGAAAGAACAATAAATACAAGGTTTCTTTGAAAGTTTCTTCTTAAAATTCCGCACACGATTTCGCGGGAAGTGTTCATTATCTGCAAATTTTAAAATTATTGTCCTGGCATTCCCCGCGCAGAAAAAATACTTTACAGTCTGGTGGGTGTTCTCTTAAGGAACTTTTCAGACCTGTTTCCAAGAAATTAATTTTAAGTATTGGTAAACCTAGACCCAAATAAGATTTCAATATTTATATCAAGACAAAGCCAGTGTCCTTTCATAACTGCTCTTTGTCAGTTTAAACAGAGAGAAAATTATACATCTACACTCCCCTCACGAAAGTATCCGGACAGTTCGAAGATCGATTGCGCTTTCAGATGAAAACAAAATTAGGCTGGCTAAATGGACTTTTTAACTTGGTGATAATAATTTTTTGAGAAACCCTTTCAAAATAAACAGAGACATTAGAATGTTGCAAAACTTCTGCTCTTTTCAGCTGTTCTCATTTTTTGTTCAAATAGGAAGCCATTGCGATAGAAACGATACGCAAATCAACTGATGTCAAATCAACGAAGCGCAGCAAAGCCAGGTGGTAACAAGTCAAGTTTAAATTGACCAATGAAACAGTGTAACTTTTTACAAATTCGTTCTTGAGAAACAAATATTTTCGAAAAAAGAGAAATACAACGTGTTTACCCTCAGTTGGTAAAAATGTTTGCATGGAGATGCCACCGATCGATTATAAAACATGGATGACATTTGGTAACATTTTACCAAATCAAAAACTTTCTTGCAAAGCAGACATATCATTCAGTGCAGGGCCATAAAGCCATATTATTTCTTTACCGCTGCAAATCTTGCCGAAACCAGTTGGTACGAGGGTACATTAACAATTCTTTATCAATTTCCTTGCAATTTCCTTGAAAGTTTAATTGTTTATGAACATTTAATGCAGTTTTTGCGTAATGATGCAAACCAGTTTTGATGCAAATTTGGTTAGGGCGGAACGCTCAGACGTTGGTGTCGCGAGAGCTCTTGCTCTTTTTGACCGTGACAAATTTTTTAAACTTCTCATTTTTCAATTTTTTTTGCATAGCTTGAAATTTGGAGTCTTTGTGCATCCAATGATATTAGCAATTTAATGATAGCTTTTTCCTATCACTGTGATAAAACATTATCTCTAGACACTGCTCAGAAGTCAATTCATGTGTTTCGGTCGCTACCATCTTCAGGAAAAACCCTCACAGAGTTTGCTTACATATCGATTAAAATTATATTTTTTTGACGAATACATAGATTAAAGGCCAAAAAAACTTCAAGAAAAAATTCGAGGAAATTGATTAAAACTTTTTCATGAAAACTGACACTGAAATTTGTAAACAAATTTATCTTACAACCGATTCGCAACTGAATTCGAAATTGTCCGGATACTTTCGTGAGGGGAGTGTACTCTTTATATAATTAAGTTTTGCAATTAAAAGGCTCAATCTATAAAGATTCTGTTGAAAATGTTTATCCAAGAAAGTTAAGGCAGAAACACATGTTCAATAACTGTTTCAGCAAAAAATGTCAGTTTTTTACGCTCATGAAAATAATATGCATTCCAGCCAATTCATAGGTTTTGAAGGCAGTTAATTCTGTTAGTTCTGAAAATTCTGTCAAAAATGAAAAATCTTCCTAGTTTTTATTCCATTTCTTTGGTGGAAAGTCTTAGCAATAATCTTTTTCACCACTTAACAAATTTTTGACCATTTTCAAATGAAGTTTAATGCATAATTTTGTATCACTTTTAATCACCAATTTTTTTCAGTTCAAATTGATTTTTGAATTAAAAATTGATATTAAAGCATATACTTGCCTGGTGTATAGGGTTATTTTGCTGGTTGGATGACTTTATGCTTGCCATAACCTTGCCTTTTTCCCATGCCCAATACAATAAAGTCCAATCTGGTCTACTGCCTTGGGAAACTAAATATTTCGAATCTGGTGAAAAAGCAAGAGCCACATATTCCTGAGTCTGAGTCTCTGCCCAAGACAAAACTTTCCTTTTCCTTAAGGAATGGAGATCGTATATAGCAATTGACGGCTTTTCACCTTTTTCAGCTAAAGCAACATATCTTCTGTTTGGGCTGACTGCCATCGCTGTCATGCTGCCCCCCTTATCTGAGGCTGGTATAAATCGTTGGGTCTTTTGGTCGATGTTGAACAAGACGCAGTTAGATCCTGACGGATAAACAATTGTTTGCTCATCAAGGTAGCACACATTGTTCGCAACATCACCTCTGAGTCCAAATACATGTCTTGGTAATGCTGTTACCATCGACATTTTGCCAAAATACTATGAAATTAGCGAACTTCTACTTCAACTATCCTGATATGAACTTCGGGTAACTCCAAACTGATGTTGTGTTGCTTGGTTACAATACCATGCTACAGAGGCTAGTCTCTTTATCGAAAGCTCCTCCCCAGCTCCAGTTTTGGTAAAAAAGACACGAACAAATAGAATGTGGGATATAATAATTAAAAGCGCGATCCGAAGTTAAAATATAACATATATCGATAAAAAATTTGAGTAACTTTTGGGGCCCAGTGATATACTCTCGATAATAAAGTATAGTATAAGTAAATCTTAATAAAATGCCAATATATATATATATATATATATATATATATATAAATACCCTGACAAATATTTTTTTAAACATCTCATTTTTATCGAATATATTTCAAATTTACAGTTTGAAAATGGCTTTGAAAAAAGCAAACATTTTACAACATACTAAAAGCTTTTTCGTCTGACACTCCTCAGAGCATAAAACGTCAGAATCAGGGTCCGAAAGAACACGATAAAAAATATATACCCAGTTGTGGATCGAAATAGGCTAATCAGAAACGCGAGCACATGACCACTTGAGGTTGACCAATCAGTGCCGCGAGCCTAAAGAAAAATTACCACTAGAGTCCAAGAGAGAAAACGAACTTCTTCTGTCTACACAATGGCGGCTTTTTCGTTTGTATGTAGATCGACTCAAAAACTGCTAGATGGAAGGACGACCGGGCTCTGCCAATTATCCGAAACATGTCGTCATTATAGTATTTTGCACAATCTGTGTTGTCTAAAAGATGTTGACCGATGGAAGAATCACTTGTTTTAACAGTGTATCTGACCGACAAGATCGAGGAGGCTGTTCTCTTTGAGGGGCAGTTATGTTTCTTATGTTGGAAGGAACATGCTGTTTTATCCTATCCCCCAATCTTTGGGTTGTGCGTCCTACGTAGCCAGAATCACCTGGCACGTAAATTCAAAAATTACGGAACTTTTTTGGTTGGTAGGAACGCAATCTTTTTGAATGGATGGAAGGGCTCTCCTAGTGCTGTAAACAAAACGAGGATTGACAGCAAAGAAACATTTAGTTATGGCTTGCCTAATCTGACTCTCTCTAATCTTACTCTAATCTGACTTGCCTAAATTGAGAGTCTGCTGGTGGTGGCTAAATGCTGCTGGAATGTGGCTGCTAAGCTCCGGACTGTTATACTCTTGTGTATCATCAGCAAAGCAATGGATTATAGAAGCAACTTTAAAGACCTAAATATAAAGAAGGGGAGCTACTTCCGAGCATAGGGGAAACCACAAGAAATATGGCATTATCTAGAAAGTTTGCTTTCACTTTCACAAAAAGGGGGCTACGTAGGAAACAGCCGCTTAACCATAAAACTGAATATGCATCAGAGGCCAACCGACCAAGTGTTGGTGGTAGAAGTTTTGCAGTGAATTGTCTATAGTGTCAAATGCTTGCTGAGATCCATTATTGATACGTTTGCCATCCTTGTTCTTTAAAACATCATCAGTATAACTTCAAAGAAGCAATCTCTTTTGACAAGTGTTTTCTGAACCAAGAAAAGAACTTAAACCAGACCCTACTGATTCTAGACATTCGTAGGCTCGAAAGTGCTTTAATGTAGGCGCCAACGGCAATGTAGGGACTCAGCAGCCAATGCTCTATACCCCTTACATGTCTGGAGCTTTGAGGTTCGAGAATCGCTTACGATGTTTCAGGGGGACGGGTCTTAGCAACTTTGATGGGTATTTAAGATGGAAAAAATATTATGTAAAAATACAGTGCATTTCCTGTTCTTAAGAAACAGTAAATCGTACCAGAGCTGTATGAATTATAAACCACCTGTCAAAAGGATCGTATGAACGGGCTTACTGTTCCAATGAGATTATCTTCAATTCCCATCTTGGCTCACCCTAGGGAAAACTAAAAGTCGGTGCCAATGCAAGCGCAAACTGTGTTGCAGCAGTTACAAGTTTTATAATTTCGGATTTGTAAATCGACATATTATCTCTTTCCAGAATAGTTGAAACGCTAGAAGACTTTGACTCGAAGGTTGCTTATACTTAATTCAAACCACCCCCTCCCCACCCTCAAAGTCATCAGTGCGACACCCTGTGCAACGCTGTCTAGACTGGACAGAGAATTTGTAAATATCCATTGAGATTAAACAGCAAAGCAGGGATGAAGATATGCATGATGATTACAAACGCTAGGAAGGACAAAAGTATCGAAAAGTAAAACAAACGACTCAAAACATTAAATATAAATATACGGAATCAATATTCTTACATTCACAAAACTCACAGAAATCTTAATATCAGAATACATATTTTCAATGCTCAAAATACAAAAAAAGGAAGAAGAATATGTCTCATTTGATTAAGGCAATTCTTTAATCAGTCAAGACACTCGTATCTTTCACCATCCTGAACTAGTGTTCACCCCTATAGCCTTTCAAAACGAAGCAATGCGACTTTCCAGCGCTTACAGTGTATGCAAAAAACACACTTTCCAACACCGAAGTAAGATACATTTTACGTTCAAAAATATCAACAGCAAAAAAAAAACGTCAAACGGAGCCAGTTTACATTATAGAAGGAGATTTTGGAATAATTTTGATCTAATTTGCAACATACAGCCAAATGAAGCAAAATCTATAAAAAACGACTTCATCACATTTTTCTTACTTGACTTTGGTATTATGTATGGTGTAAAGATTCTTGAATGAGATATCAGATAGCAAATTGATGATTTTCCAGTTGTAATTTCGATGTGCTTCCCGACGGAGAGAGCAATGGTCACTCCAGGCCCAATCAGTTCATTCTTAAATAATATCAAAGAAACAAGACGAAGGTTGCAAGGAGATGTTGGAAAAGTTTGACTACACCAACTGATCATCTTGCCCTAAAAGAAGACGAGAAGCTGATATTTTGCTTTCTCTGACTTTGTGGAAAACATTTAGGGCTTTTTTACATGCTTTTAAAGCTTCTAGATTACAAAAATCAATAGCGGTGCCACAGGGAGGGGGGGGGGGACACATCCGGATCGATTTTGTACCTCGTCTAAATTCGATGGGAATATTTGGGTGGAAGGGTAAAATCTTGGCAACATAATTTTTGTAATGTAATTTTATAATCTTGAAACAGTTTTTACGAAAACAAAAGTGCAGCTAAGGGTACGGTGCGACTAAGGGTTTGGTGCCACTAAGGGTGCGGTGCATCTCAACTGCTTTCTTAGCTAAATAACTTTGTAAAATATAACTAGATTTGAAGCTAAACGACCATACCTGAAGATAAAGGTAAGGTGTGTGCATTGGTTGTGTGATAAATTTTTATCATCTACACAATAACAGGAATGTAGCTACAGCCCTCCATTGTCCATAAAAGACAACCGATCTCATTGTGTGAATGCCTAACCTTTTCCCCCTCTATTTGGAAGCCATAAATATTCCCAGAAAGTTATATATTAATCAAATCTTTATATTGCATCAATATGGAGAAAATCAGTTTGCAAGCCTTAGTGTATTATGTATTCAAAGAGTCTTCATAAGCATGATACCTTGTTGAATTGCCTCTATAAGTTTCTGCAATTTCTGATAACACACGCTGCCCGCTTCCTTCTTCATCTTCATATACACGCTGTGGATTACGGAATTCTCTGCCGTTGTCTACAAGAAACAAGAAAAAATAAAATCAACCACTGAATGATCTGACAAATAAACACATGAAAATACTTGGAGAGAGCTAATTGAATGCTAGTTTTCCTTACAAGAGGAAGCAGTGACTAGGGGGCAGGGTTGGACAATTTCCACCTTACTTATCAAAACTTGAATTTAGTATCATTTGGAATGTTGTATCACTGCAATGCACCGATTAGAATTTAAAAAACAATGACCTAACTGTACAGTTTATGGCAGATTTAGATGCACTAATTTCTCTGTTAACACTCTAACATGTTAACATGAAGTACAAGATTTTACAATTAATTCATGACTAACGGGAATACATGCTTGCTGCTAAATAAGGCCAAAAGTTTAAAATGGTATCAAAATACTAGGTCTTACTACAAAAAGGATAAGTAGCAAATTGACAATCACATCCTGTCTTAGTTAAATTTTGAAAATGATTACATTGAAAAAATAAAAAATCTGGATAAAAAACAAATAATAAACATCGAGATTCAGCAGCTAAAAAAGAGTGACTGCAAAACTTCCCGAATTCTGTTCTTCAATAAATCTTTAAAAGCATGCTCAAATTTGATCAGTATGTATTTTAGGCCAAATAAATTTGGAATACCCTTTCCCAACGTTTTTATGGCTTGATGATGCTTGCTTCAGTTCTGCTATATCTTATAATTTCATACAAAGATTTGTAAATAAGTTTGGCAAAAAACACAAGCAAAAATAAACTCACTCTTGTTATTTTGGCCATTTGCATTGTCTTGAGTTGATCTGCATATAACAATGTAGAGCCATCGCAAAAACTGAACAAAGATGCAGATGAAAGGCAAATATGTAAGCACAGCTGAAATTATTTGAAGACCCACTCTGTTCTTCCTCTCTGTGATAACATTTAATGCCACATTGATTGTAGCCACGAAGGAGATATTTCCAAGAAGCAAAGTATCAAAATAATTCATATTCTTTTCTTTGTATGGCTTCACAATGAGAAAAATAATGAGGATAGCTTGACAGGCAATGGCCAACAAGGTATCTCTGACCACACCAGCGTCAGAGAAGACGAAAATTGCAAAAACAATGCACCTGCATATTAAGTAGAAAGAAGCAAATCGTTCATATCCTTTCTTGAATGGCTCTTGAAATGAATCAATGATCCCTTGTGATTTCACCCAACATTTAGTTAATAATGGGAAGAAAATCAACCCTAGGGGAAGAAGCAGCACCACAACAACTAACACCACTAACGCCAAAAAAGCATAGAATGCGTGTTCCTTTCCAAAAAACTTGACATCACCTTGTAGATACAAAACAGCTACACCATCAACCTCAATGTAATGTAAAAGCTCAAAGGTAATTCGCGTGAAATCAGCATACACGAAAATGCTTAACAATGCCAAAGCCCTGAGAGCTGAGTTGTTCTTGAAAGGGCATTTTCTCCAGTGCAATGTCAGATAACAAATGAACCCTGTGAATGCAAGTATATATGTTGGTGTGATGTAGTTGAGTGCCAGCTTCTGTAAATCTGTCAGGCCATTCCAGAGACAAATACCAAAGTTACCTCCCGTTCCTGAAAAGTTTGTCAGTCCCATTACAAAAGAAATGAACTTATCCAACTTGAGATTTCCCACCAAAACCAATGGCAGCACTTGATATGAGTAGAGATAGGCATTCAAGTAGGTGAAGTATGACTCTAAGTTCAAACGCATAATCACCAAAACAAAAACTGTCAAGAGAAAAATCCACAACAGTAACAAAAACAGGTAGTAATTTGAGCACTTTTCACAGTCCTCATTTCCAAGGAGAACACTGTATCCTTCCTTGCAACTACCACAAAGAACAGAATCCCACTTTCTATTTTTTGCACATTGTTTGTGTTTATCATAAATACATTCAACATCAGAAGCTTTGCCAGTTGCATCTTTGCATTTCTCACAGTAGCTTCTAGGACAATGATGTTTTGCAAAGTTTTCATTTGGTCCCTTTGGATTCCCCCATCTTCCACGTAACGTGAAAACTTTTTCTGCCTGGCAATGCATAACTCCCTTTTCAAGGCCTTGGGTGGAAAGACATTTGCAAATTGAATCTCCTGGACTTTGAAAGTAGCCACGTTGGCATATACTCAGTTTCCTGTTTACAATCTTAGTTCTGATTGATACACCAACCACAGTCTCAATTGTCACATTGAATAGAGATTGTTCACGACCATAAATTGAAATTCTAGGAAGTTCATCCTTTATGGCAAAAACGTTAGATCCAGCTAATTTTACTGAGGGGTCAAATGAGGAAATCATCACCTTTACTGTACCAGAGGTAGAATTCCAGAGTTCATCCCTCAGAACAACACGAGGTTTAAACCCCATGGCAGGTGGCCTATCCCAGTCACTTTCATGCACTTCCATCACAACTGGATTTGTCATGATTGGAGGCTCTAAATCTTTAGACATGTAATAGAAATTCCTCCACTGCATAGCTGTATTATTGTACTTTGGCTCCCCATACTGGCGACACCAATTCAATGTTGACATAAATACTGCACTTCCTGAAGCTGTTGATGCAGTGTTGTTGATAAACTCAATTTGTGTATCAAAGGTCTGTGGATGCTGTTCCTCATCACCAAATAAAACTGCACATTTATAGACCAGAAATTCTGTTGAGTCCATAGGGGCCATAGGGGGTCCTGGTGTTTTAACATACAAAGCCCCACCCAATCTTAGTGCTGTATTTTCGTAGAAGACAATGTGTGATTTCTCTCTTAGTTTAATAAATGAGTCACCATATGCAGCAATGGCACCACCTTTAATACCAACATTTCTAATAAACTTAACCTTATCAAATAGTTCTACAGACGAGAATTCCAAAACCAAAGCTGTCCAACTGTTATTGACAAACTCATTGAAATGTTTTAATATCCCAACACTTGAAAATAGATAAAGTGCACCTTTACCAGATGTTTCTTCAAGATGATTGATTACAAAATTATCAGATAGCACTGATCTATGCAACTCAAATTGACTAACTGACATATGAATTCCTGCTCCTAGAAAAGCTCTGTTTTTTGCAAATGTGCAGTTGTCAAAGATAGTCACTTCCTTGGTTATTGCTGCTTTTGTCTCCCTGTATTGGCTGAATGCACCACCAATTTCACCTGAATTATCTCTAAATGTACAATTCTTTAACCTCACCAAATTTACTCCAAAAGAATGATCAGATGCCAATCCAACACGAATGCCCCCTCCACCATAAGTGGCTTTGTTGCTTACAAATGATGAATCTTCAACCTTTACTGAATTGTTCCCAGACCTTGAATGAAATTCTGTAAATATTCCAGCACCCCATAAAGCAGTGTTGTTCTCAAAGTGACAATGTTTGAACAAAAAGCTATTATTGATAGCAGTTCCTTTAGACATTAGGGAAACTGCCCCTCCTCTTCCAAATGAAACATAAGTGTTTGTGTCATTTTCTGGGGACGGATAGCTGTAAAAACGTTCCGCTGTGTTGTGTTTGAAAGCACAACTGCTCAAGGTATAAATACAATTTGTATTAAATATACTTGTCAATCTATTTTTGTCATTTGTGAATTCGATGTACAGGCCTCCGCCAGAAGAAGTTCCCTTGATAATGGAACCCTGGTGTGATTTTGAATTATCCACATTAAAATCAGTTAATGAAACTTTGCCACATACATCGTAAAAAACTGCACCCATACCCCAAGAGTTACTTATCTCCATACCACTTAGTGTGACGACAAAACAGTTTTTTAGGAAAATGCTCGTAAACAAAGGAAGTGTCGTCCCATTTATACGTGATGTAGAAGGGTGTTCTGCTCCACAGTTGTCAAGCTGTAGTCCGCTGACCGTCAAGTGATGACAATTTTCAAACGACAAACCTGAGTTGTTTCCTTCGCAACGGACAGTTGAGGTTTCTTGAATTAAACTCCCTTTCAAAACTAAACCCTTGGTATACTTAACGGAAATTGTTTCATTCAACGTATGCACACCGGACGACAATATAACTGTTGTGAAGTTCAGCGATGGCTTCTTCATTGCAAACAGAAGGCTACCACATGGTACAGAATTGTTATTCCAGCAATTAGGCACGTCCCTGCCATATTGCGAAACTTTGACAATGGTTTGCGAAGATCCTTCTGCCTTGATATAGGTTGAAGCTTTCAAGCTACAACCTAAAAGAAGGAGTGTAAAATTATTAATGAAAAATTGACACATCCCTTGATTTCCGTCTTTGACCATGTTTATTATACCATGTTGACGATTTACTTCCTATTCATCCCTCCCAACTCCGTTCTGTGATTTGTGATTTCAATCTGCCTCTCCTGCAGAAATCTGGAGCCTGAGCAATGATATAGAAGCGCCGAAGGCGCTAGATGTCTTACTCGGGTCATGCTGGATACTGCCGAGTGAGGCAAATTTGTTAACTTCCGCCATTTTAAATAGTGGCAAAAAGCGAACTTTGTACCGACGCTCATTTTTATATATATACAGTATATATTTAAATCTTCTATCATATATAACAATTTTATAAAAATATGAGCATCAAAACTGGTCAAAAGTTGAGCTCAAATTAGGAACAAGTTAAAACTGAGTTACTGTTTAATGCATTTTTGAACAACATTTTAGCTCAAAACGAGGATTTTTAGCCATGTGTGGTTGCCTTTCGGTGAATATTCAATCTTGTCGGCAAATGAAGGCTGCCCCACTCACTTTGTTGGCAAATAATGCCTGAACACCTACCAAGAGCGAAAAAGCTAGCAATCGCACTGCCTACATCCAATTAATTTAAGAACAAATTAAGGACAATCCACCCTCGGATTTTTGCGAAAATTAAGAACAGTCAGCCTGAACCTAAATTGACTGGTTTTTGTAAAAAAATTAGTGAATACAACATGCACCTAGCAGCATACCCTTCCCTCTACAACGCGTATAAATGCTTGATGACACTTAGCTGCACCCAAGTTTCCTTTGAAAGATTATTCAGCGCTACTGATAATTTCAAAAGAAGAGAAAACTTTCCACTTGGTTACGATAAAGTCATTGGCCAATTTGCTGATTCATTTGCACTTCTTCGAAAAGAGTTGAAACTCTGAGAATTTAAATAAGTTTTGATCTCGATTTTTAACTCTACATGGGATTTTAAGGAAAGAGCCACGGTCATAATTTCCCAAAATGCGTGACTCTGTCTTAAATTTCACGTCATTGACATGAACTCTAGCGTTTAATTTTCTAATACAGTATGTCATATAGTGGTCTGTAATACCGATTTTTACGACCGATACATTACAGCGGTTGTTGGGTCTGTTTGAAGAAAGGTGATCTATTAACTAAAAAGTTTTATTAGGCTCTTTATCTTTATTTTTGTTAAGTTAAGTGAGCTTCTGCTAGATGCCCAGAGCATGATAGGGCAACTGATAAATTATTACTGAATGTTTTATCTTCGACAAAATCAAATTACGAAATTTACAGCAATGCTGACATTTACAGGAGATGTTTTGTTTTGGGTTCTGGGCATTTCACTTTGTTTTAAGTTTTGATATAAGAGTCAGCAAGTTAAAGAAAAACAAACAGCAGAAATGGAAAAAGCTGGAGAGAAATGAGAAGGAAAACAGTAGAAACAATGGGAGAAAGCAGGAAGAGAAAGGAAGGGGAGGTAAAAAATGTAAGTGAAAAGAAACGTAACGTTCGGCAGAAAACCTTTCAAAATTATTCAAGAAAAAACCAGAGTTGACAGTTGAATCAATCCGGGCTGATTCACAATTGCGTTTGGAAACCAAGTTTAGACCCACTTTTCGTTTAGAATACAAATTGAAGAAAGTTTACCCTGGGTGAACTCAATACATGTTGAACCCGGGTAGCTTTTTGTAGTGTAAACCGGGCTTTCGATTGGAAACAATTTCACTTGCTTTCATTATAAAGCGTCGGACGAAGAGTTCAAGTGAATTTTGTTCCACTTTTCCGAGCTATTTTGAACATTATTTCTTCCTTGTACTCATATTGTAGTTTTCTAAATGTATTATCAGTCATTCTATCAGTTCAATTTTGCGTAGACACGACAGGTTACACCATTAAATCTTTTCCTCTCTTGGGTACAGTTAAATTTTAGCTGTAAGTCAGCGCTGTCAGTTATTTTTCTCCAATCGCAATAGCTGCCTAAAAAATTCACCATATCTTTGAAACGCGTTCAGATTTGTAAGAGTTATTAGTTTCTATAGACTAAACACTGAAGCGACGAACATCGTAGAGCAATCAGTTTTTTGATTTCCTTGATTACTTAGATAAAACATGAATCAAAACCATGGACGAAAATTTGCACAAAAAGAAGCACCAATAAAGGATATTCCTGGGAATTCGGAGCCTGGAGAAATCCCGAACTAGGCAGGCTTGAGAAGGTACCTTTCAGAGTTGTTTTAATGTTCCCAACTTTTTAAAAATATAATTTTCGCAACTTTAGACCTTTGAATTATAGGTGATATCATTTATGTATGACCCTGACTGATTTTGCCTGGGTAAACTCGGCCAAGGTAAACTCGGCCTAGGTAAACTCGGCCTAGGTAAACTCGGCCTAGGTAAACTCGGCCTAGGTAAACTCGGCCTAGGTAAACTCGGCCTAGGTAAACTCGGCCTAGGTAAACTCGGCCTAGGTTAAACTCGCCTAGGTAACCGGCCCTAGGTAACTCAGGCCCTAGTAAACTCGGTCCTAGGTAAACTCGCCTATGTAAACTCGCCTAGGTAAACTCGGCCTAGGAAACTCCAGTTAAGGCCTAGGTAACTCGGCCTAAGGTAAACTCGGCCTAGTAAACTCGGCCTAGGTAAACTCGGGCCTAGGTAAACTCCGCGGTAAACTCGCCCTAGGTAAACTCGGCCTAGGTAAACTGGCAGAATCGGCCTAGGGGTAAACTCGCCTAGGTAAACTCGGCCTTAGCGTAAACTCGGCCTAGGTAAACATCGGCCGTAAACTCGGCCAGGGCTGACTCGGCCCGGGCTGACTCGGCCCGGGCTGCCGGCCCGGGCTGACTCGGCCCGGGCTGACTCGGCCCGGGCTGACTCGGCCCGGGCTGACTCGGCCCGGGCTGACTCGGCCCGCTGACTCGGCCCGGGCTGACTCGGCCGGGCTGACTCGGCCCGGGCTTACTCGGCCCGGGCTGAACTCGCCCGGGCTGACTCGGCCCGGGCTGACTCGGCCCGGGCTGACTCGGCCCGGGCTGACTCGGCCCGGGCTGACTCGGCCGGGCTGACTCGGCCCGGGCTGACTCGGCCCGGGCTGACTCGGCCCGGGTGACTCGGCCCGGGCTGACTCGGCCCGGGCTGACTCGGCCCGGGCTGACTCGGCCCGGGCTGACTCGGCCGGGCTGACTCGGCCGCGGCTGCTGACTCGGCCCCGGGCTGACTCGGCCCGGGCTGACTCGGCCCGGGCTGACTCGGCCCGGGCTGACTCGGCCCGGGCTGACTCGGCCCGGGCTGACTCGGCCCGGGCTGACTCGGCCCGGGCTGACCGCCCGGGCTGACTCGGCCCGGGCTGACTCGGCCCGGGCTGACTCGCCCGGGCTGACTCGGCCCGGGCTGACTCGCCCGCGGCTGACTCGCCGGCTGCTCGCCGGGGCTGACCGGCTGCTCGGCGCCCCGGGCTGACTGGGCCGGCTGACTCGGCCGGTGACTCGGCCCGGGACTGACTCGGCCCGGGCTGACTCGGCCCGGGGCTGACTCGCGCCGGCGACTCGGCCCGGGCTGACTCGCCCGGGCTGACTCGCCCGGGCTGACTCGGCCCGGGCTGACTTCGGCCCGGGCTGACCGGCCCGGGCTGACTCAGGCCCGGGCTGACTCGGCCCGGGCTGACTCGGCCCCGGGCTGGACTCTTCGGCCCGGCTGACTCGCCGGGCTGACTCGGGCCCGGGTGACTCGGCCCGGCCTGACTCGGCCCGGCCTGACTCGGCCCGGGCTGACTCGGCCCGGGCTGACTCGGCCCGGGCTGACTCGGCCCGGGCTGACTCGGCCCGGGCTGACTCGGCCCGGGCTGACTCGGCCCGGGCTGACTCGGGCCGGGCTGACTCGGCCCGGGCTGACTCGGCCGGGGCTGACTCGGCCGGGGCTGACTCGGCCCGGGCTGACTCGGCCCGGGCTGACTCGGCCCGGGCTGACTCGGCCCGGGCTGACTCGGCCCGGGCTGACTCGGCCCGGGCTGACTCGGCCCGGGCTGACTCGGCCCTGACTCTTTTGGTTTGAAATAATGTTTTGTTAATGCGAAAGAGGGTTGAGACTGGTTAACTTTTCTACTGCGCATGCGGAATGAGGTTGCGTATTGAAAAGGGTGCTAATTTTTTTGCATCTTTTCGCACAGCTTGTGCTTTCTATTAGACTTTGAGGTTACGGTAAACGTTTTCTGGACGGAACCATTTTTCGATTCCTGCACTTTCTAGAGCCGAAATTTTAAGACACAATTAAAACCATGTTTGAAACAAGCAGAAGTTTTGAAAAGCCAAAAAAATCCATGTAAACGGAAGTTTCCATAACTTCTTTATCAAAACTACTAGTTGTGGTCTGAAAATCTCTTAACCTGTTAAACCGATTATCGCTGCTTTGCGTTTGTTGTCGCATGTCTCATTTACAATATCGCATAGCACATCCATGTATCCAATGTATGACTGTGTTTATTCTAACAGGCTTATTCATCTTAAAGCTTCAAGTGATTTGACCCGGATTTCACTGTGGTTTACGAGTGTACCTTGCAAGTGCGATCAGTAAAATTCCGTTTTCTACGGACTTACAACTTCTCCACATACAGGTACGAAAAGCTATTTTGTACCCAAGGAACGAATCAAATGGCTAAAAAATTTGCACACGGCCAGGACAGATGTCGGGTAAGCAAAGTGTGTCTCAAATTTGTGTAGCTGGAATCAGTTTACTGCAAACTATGTCATATTTCAATTGAACTAGGAATTATACGAATTAATAAACGACGTTTCGAGCATAGCCCGTTATCAAATTGATTATATTTATGTCATAATTAATTCTTAAAATCTCATGCAATGTATGACGGAATGGGGAGTTATATTGCAAGCAAAACGGGGGCTTGTCCCTAGGGATGGCGCCAGAAAAGAAATGTTCGGGGGGCTTTAATGTCAGAGTGCCGACATTGAGTGAACCACCAACAAAGATCTAATACAACACCATTTCCGCTGTGGTAATTCCAGTTCAAAAAATAAAAAAAAAATAAAAAAAAGCAAACAATGAAATACCGAAGTGCCGACGGAGGGGCTCAATGAATTTTTGGGGGGCTCCTGCCCCCCCCAAGCACCTTCGGTGGCGCCATCCCTGTTGTCCCTGGAAAAATATTTTAAATCACGCTATTTGGAAATTCAGAAAATGCTGGAATTTTATGTCTTTTCTTTTCACAATTTGCTTTGGGAAGAAGATTCTCAGTCAAATAGACTGTATTTGAAACTCTGAAA